ATAAAATTTTTTTTTAAATAAAAAAAATTCGGAAATTTGAAATTTACGCATTTAAGTTTTTGACGCACCCAATTTCACTCAATGTAGTTTTCGATCGCTTTTTTTCGATGGTTACCTCTACAGATTTAGGCATAGTTTTGAAAATACCATTATTTTGAACACATCATTATTACGATATACGAATTTCTAATTTTAGTTATTACTTTTGACTCATACCTGCCAAGTTTCCTGTTTTTTAATGAAGACTCCTGTATTCTACGACTATCTCCTGTTTACCTGTATATTCTCATATTTCTCCGTATTTGTTGAAGAAATTAAAAAATAAAAGTAAAAATGGTGATAAAATATCTACTGATGGCAAAAATACTTCTCTTATTTCTTAATTGATGGTGCTACTGCAGTATGTTGAGTCTTAATAGTTTAAGTCGAGTCGTGATGAACTCAGGGGATAGAGCGTTCGCCTTCCAATGAGATGACCCCAGGTTCGAATCCCAGCAATGACTGGTCGATACGAATACCGAATCCAGCTTGTACCGACCACAGTGCTGACGTGAAATATCTTTAGTGGTAGACGGATCTTGAGTTAGAGTCCCTTTGCCGCCAGGCTTACCATGAAAGGTTATCGTCATTTTCTTCTCCATGTAACGCAGATGCTGATTAGTTCTATCAAATAAAGTCCTCCACGAAGGCAATCTCTCCCAATACTTGATCCAAGAGTACCCTAGTCTTCCGGATTGGGTTCAAAATGACAAGGCTTTGGAGTTGAACATCAGTAGTCGTAAACCCAAAGTTGGGTCGTTCAGTAAAATCTCCGTTGTTTTATTTCTCCAATGTTAGCAGGTATGCTCTCTTCGAGTGCTCCGATTTTATCATAAATTCAATGACTTTCCGGTAGTTATTGCTGCCCATTTTCACGTATTTTCTGAAATCGCGATTTTTAAAAAGTTATGAAACGCTTTATTTGTGCAAACTTCATGAAAAATCTAATCTTTTTCGGCAGCAGTTGCTACGCTTTTCCGCATGGTTTTTAAAATTTTGATATTTTGGCACGATATTGTTACGAATCGAGATTAAATAATTGCTCATTTAGATAACCATTTTTTGACGTGGTTTATTTGTGCCAATTTTATTGCAAATCAAATTATTTTTTTTAATCGTTATTTTGGCAATTTGTCGTTTGGTTACACATCTCTACAAGGTTTTGAAAGTCCAATATTTTTTATACGCTATTTTGATACTTTAATTTCGCATTTAAATACATAAAATTTTTACGCGTTTTATTTACACCAATTTCACCGCAAATATAAAGGTATTTTGATAATTTCCTTTGTAGTTACTACTACGCTTTTTACTCGTGATTTAAAAAAAAATTGATATTTTCATATAATTTGACAGCACGTGAGTTTTGAATCGCGCATTAAAATAATTACTTTTTATGTGCTGTATTTGTGTCGATTTTTACATAAATATAAGAGGTTTTTCGAACGTCTTTTTACTTGTAATTTAGAATATCCTGATATTTTAGCACAATATGACAACCCTTAAAATTCGATACTGTTTTAATTTTTTTTTTGGAACTTAAAAAGTAATTACGTATTTTAGCAAAATCGATACCTTCCTAAAAAGAATAAAAATGAAAAATAAAAACAAGTTGTGTACATTTATATTAAACGCGTTCCCCTTTGCTAAACAATAATTCAAAACACGTGTATATTTCTTAGTCCCATGAACAAGTGCAAGTTAACATCACACACTCAACCTATTCTTTTTGTTGTTACATGATTTAAAAATCACATGTCGAGATACGTACTTATACGTTTTAATTCTTCGTGTAATTTAAAATTCACACATCGTAATTCGTATTTACGCGATCTTAAAATTCCGCATCGCATTTCGGATTAGAAATAACGAGATTTAAAAATCATCCATCCCGATTCATATTCACGCGATTTAAAAACCATATATCGCGATTCATATTCACACATTTTAAAAGTCATGCGCTGTGAGTAGTCTTTTCGCAATTTAAAATTGTACATCTCAATTCGTATTCACGCAATTTGAAAATCACGCATTGCGTTTTATATTTGCGCAATTTAAAAAGCACACATAACAATTAGTATTTAGGCAATTATAAAATAACACATCACTATTTGTATTCACATGATTTAAAATATGGAGATGAAGAACACCATCTAGGACAAATTCCAAAAGTGATTAAGTTTTTTGCCCTAATTTAATACTACCCACAACAACAGCTTCTGTCATAAGACTGTTTTCCAGAATAAATTTGGCCTTTTCAAAATTACAGACCAGTCTTTTAACAAATTCATTTAATGGCTCGAAAAAGCATGATCAAGTGAATAAAATTATCCCAATATTTAAAAATTTTGCAAATTACAGGATAACCATTAAGAAAATTTTTTAACCATTTTCTTATGCTATACTTCCACCATTTCATATCATTCATGATTGTACGCTGGGAAATGATTTGTATATCATTAAATTTTAACAGTAAAAAATATGATCAAAATAAGTTTCGTTAAGTAATGTAAATGTTACTAATTGTTTATGCATATGTGTATTAATTGTAAATAGAAAGTGTCATGTTAAAAAATATTCGCCATAAAAAATTTTAAACAAGTATCTTAATAGTTTTTTATTATTAAGGAAAATAGTTTATTCAAGATTAATGCTTTCTTTCTTTCTTCCCTCTCTCTGCCCCTGCTTCCTATCATTAATTTAAAATAAATCTTTTAAAGTTTAAGTATATTCCCCTTCTAAATGCTAAATCTTATTTTCTGCAGATGGGGTTTTGTTTCAATTTTTATCATTTTTAACCCTATAAACTTTCTTTAAATCAAAGTATTTAACTTGTATTTATTTTAATAACTAGAACATTTTTTTAAAATTTATTTCTATGAACAAATTTTTTAAAGTTAAAATTTATGTTAAAATGGACTTATGTATTATGTAATATGACTTTTAAAAAACATGTATTTTCCCATAGTTTTTTAATTATTTCAATTTATCTAAATTTTCTTCTGATTAACTGATTCTGTTTTTTCTTAGAAGGCTCAGTTTTTTCTTAGTTTAGAAGTTTTTAACTTTAAACATTTAAAAGTATTTAATTTTATGCTAAGATATTACAAGGTTAACTTAGAAAAAGAATTTAGTGGTTAGAACAATGTTTTTATAACAATTACTACCTAAACTTACTATGAATATGTTTGTCTAAATACTTTGGGTGTTCCCTTTGGCATGCGGCCCTTCATTAGTCAATCTGCTGCGCATGTGGCCCTTCACTCAAAAAGGTTGTGCACCCCTAGTTTAAATCAATTGGTTTTTAAATCATCCCTTAAATTGGCTTCTGAAAATCTGATCATTAGGTCAAAAATTATTCAGGGTGTTCACTTTCCTCAATAACTTTTTAAATTTTCTTTAGCTATATCTTCTAGAAAAAAATAAGTTATTTATAGTATTGCATTTCAAAATGTAACTTTGGCAGTCAATTCTTTAAGCAAAGTAGATTTTTGTTTAATATACTCATTAAGATAATTTGTAATTATTTAAGATTTGTAAGAGGCTATTTACTTTGCTCACCAATCCCCATGGTCCCTTCTCATTCATCAAGGGAAAAGAATAGTTCATGCCCATTTTTTTGCAAAAATTATGATTGGATTGCCATTTGTTGCATTTTAAGGCTAACTAATTTTGCTAACCATGCTGTGGAAAAACAGTTCCTGTCAGTGAACGAATTCGCTTTTTTATTGGAATCAGCTTTAATAGACAAAACTGTTTTTCCGCTTTGAACTTCTTAAAAGTCGATAAAATAGGATAATTTTGGTTAGAAAATACATAAGTAATTTTAATTTTATGTGAGCACATTTTATTAATATGTTAATAATAATGCCATGGGTGATAGTTGGTTTTGAAAAATATTCAAATGTACTTGAAAAAAATTAAACTTAGGAGAGCAGAATGCAGTAATAAATAAGTAGTAGTTTTATCCGTAATAAATAATTTTTTAACTGATGACTGCTATGAAATGCAAATTACTTCACTTATAGTAGATGCAAAACAAATATGTATTAAAAATAAAATTTTTTAATAAAATGTACAATACGAATGCCGGTTTAAAAAGAAATCAAAATTTTAAATTTTTATATTAAATTTAAATTTATTTTTCTTACTTTTTTTACTACACATTTTCTTTTTTTATTGCATTTCATGTTGGCCGCTCTTCAACAATCTGGGGAATAGTCCTAGCTATAGAGAACACTGAGTTAGCTAATAAATTTTTAAAATATAATTTAGTGATTTGCCAACCTTTTTAGTTTACAGTTTAACTTGAAATGTATGTTTATATGGTGCATAGTGTTTTTAAAAAGTGCTTACTTTTGTTTTTTAAAAGCCCTTAAAATTGCTTTTTTTGTTAGTGGGTTTTTAAAAAGTGCTTAATTTTCCCTTTTAGGAAATGAGATTTTCCTAAATGTTTTATTCAAAAGCGTGGTTTTCACATTGTTCTATTCAACATTTTCACAATTCATTCAACAGCAATCTATTTTGGCGTACCTTCAGTCCGTAACGTATGATAGCGCCAATTATTTTACATGTTTGATGAAATACTTGGGAGTCTGCATGTGCGTCTAATGTGCTGCATTCGGTGAGATTTTTGCACTCTCATGTGCAACTCTGCTGCATTTTGCAAGATATTCTCAATTTCAGGCTTCATTTTCCACTCTCTGAAATTGAACCGAAAAATCTCTCAATCTTTTTATGGTGGCTAATATAATCAAGAAGAGCATTCTTTGTCAGAAACTAGTCATTTTTTCATGATATGTGAAGTCTTTGAAAATTATTTAGCATTTTGTTAATGTATATAGTGCTTAAAAATATTTTTTGAGTGCTTAAAAAGTACTTTAAAGGTGCTTATTTTTTGTTCACTGATTAGGCTGTGCATCCTATGTTTAGACTCTGATTTAAAATTCTTTAATTTATAGAAAGTATCTGACAGTTTTTAAAGCACAGTTCAGTTCTTTTTAAAAAATACTCAGCAATCCTGTAAGTATTGATTTGACCTGTATTGTATTTTCTTTTTTTTGCTGTCAAAAGTAAATTCATTACGTTATTTACAATAGTTCTTAGTTGGCTATTAGAAATATAAAAGAAACGTAGCACGCAAGGCTACAATTAAGTAAATTTTTTTTCTTCTTCGAGGAAGTTAAAAGTAGAATGCTGTCACACATAATTTTGATATCTTTTTAAAAACTAACTTTTGATTAATTTAACTGATTAACCAACTTTTGTTGAATTTAAATAATGTCTCAATGATGTGTCAGTTGTCATGAAAAATGTTAAGAAACAACTGTTAAATTTAACTGAAACTACCTAAGTCGTTGCTTATGAGCTTATCATTAGATTAAAAAAAATTACTAGGTAAATTTTTTTTATAATCAAGGGATGTTTAAGTTTGTATTATAAGTTAAAGCAAGAGAAGAAATTGTGAGACAATGAATTTCAATGTTTTATTTTATTATGTAAACACTTGAAATTCGTAGAATATTCTCTCATTTTATAAGAATAAAATTTTCTTTATTTATAAAATTTTCTTTATTTATGTCAAAGTTATTTAGGATTAAAAATATAAATTTGAAGGGTTATGACTCTATTTGTCATTGAAAGTATCAGTTTTTTGGAGAATATCTGTTTTAAAAATTAATCTTTCTTAAATTTCAATTTTTGAGCGTAACTGCTGATAAATTTTTATTTAATGTGCCTAAAAGTGAAAAATATTTTTCAATTTGTATGTTATAAAAATAAGGCGCTTCATTTTAATAAATGAAATTTTTTTTTTGTTGAATAAATGAGACTATCATAACTGGTAATGCTTCTTTATTTTTCAAGTAATCATATTTATTAAAAACAATTGCTTCTTCTTATTAATAGTGTAATACAAATTCATTTTACCCACATAATTGCATGTCATAAATTACTTTTTTTTAATACTCTAGTGCTTAAATTTTTCAAATTATTTGAGCAAAATTATTTGAGCAAGTTCAACTAGTTTCAACAGGTTTTTGAAACATTGATTTTTTTCTGTTGGTCTTCTTGGTTTTTGCTAAATGCTAGTAAATTTTGTAGAAACTGGCTATATTGTATCAGCATCATAGTTTTATATTTGTTAAAGGAATATAATACAATGGGTAAAAGAGGTTTCAATTGCCCAAAAGTGGTCTTAATTTTTTAAGTTTATTATATTTTTATTGTAATTAAAAGTGACTTAATAAGTAATGAGTCAGTTAAAATATATTATATTAATAAGTTTTTGAGGCTAATTTATAAAATGTGCTTATACCAAAAAAAAAAAAAAAAAAAATAAATGTTTCCAGGTATAGAATAACTGTGTATACAAAAGAAATTTGTCAGAACCCTAGCAGCAAAATAACTTGGGGGCCCTCATTGAATCAATATTCACAAATCTTGGCTCAATGATTCACAGAGCCGTTATTTTTCTGATATTGGTCCTATATCTAATTTTACGATTCACCTAATATTTTATAGCCATTTTACAACCAATATCAGGCCTATATAGAATTGTCATTCACCTGATATTTTATATTCATTATTCAGCCACTATAGGCCTTATATGGGCCATTCTAAGACCAATATTAAAAAATCTAGACATCCCAATATTGTTCCCTAGATGCATGTTCTTATAGGACTCATATTGAGCCCAACTAGGAGCAAGGTAATGTAAATAATCCATAATGTAAATAATTTTTATCCATAAAGTAACTAATACTCCATAATGTAAAAAAATTTTTTTTCTTCATAATTGACAAGATTTATTTTATTAAGTCAAAAACAAACATTTAAAAATAATAATTTAATGCTACTGGTTCCAATCAAGCTGAAAATATTTTCAATGTTTATAAGAATATAAATTTGGAAAAGACAATGAAGTGCACACTTTTCACTTCTCAATGAAGTTTGTGTGTAGTAGAATTTGCTAATATTACAGTTAATTATGGATTTGGAAATTTTTTAAAAAACATCTTTTTTAGTAATCTGTTTATACTTCATTTCAACTCAAGTTGACACCAGAGAAAAAGGCAGGTAGACCGGATTGCAGGTGTTGTCATGGAAACTGGGTTGCCCAAAGATAGTTGGGGCATGAGGTAGCAAAAAAAGAAAAAAAAGAGTGAAAAGGGCTGATATCAGCATTTTTTTTTTTTTAACTAAAATTTTGAGCAAAATACAGGAAAGAACAAGATTTTTTAGAGCATTTCTAATAATTGATTTGATACTGATTGTAAGCTGATTTCTTATTTTAATTTTTAAAAAAGATTTTTTCATGAATATTTTTTGACTAAACGGAACTAATTTTAAACGAAACAAAATTATATTTAAAATGATAATTTTTTTAAAATTAAATCTAAGTTAAAAAAAAATACACAGATGCTCATAAATGCTTTACTTCCAATACTTATTTTTGTGTGCAACCTTTTTTTTTTTAATAGATATATGTTTTTTAATTTATCCCACATTGGTGTTTTGTGGGGGAAAGAAAAGTCAATATAGGCATGAAATCATTGATCATGAAAAAGATCATATGTATGTTTTATATTATTTACTGTTCTTTTTTAATACAAAGAAATAAAATTTTTTTCTGTAAAGTTTATTATTATAAAAGTAGCTTGTTCTTTTTTTAAAAAATATATTTGCTTCTATGAAACAAACGAACTTACCTTAAAAACCTCTCTAAAAGAAACTTCTTTATAATATCCTCTCTATAAGAGGAGATTACCTTTCTTCTACTTCTTCTTTTCTCGAAAGAAAATCCCCTGTCTTTAAAAATCTGATATAAAGCTTCATTAATAGCTACAAAAAGAAACGAAACTAACATTTAGTAATTAGCAAAAAAAAAAAAAAAAAAAACTAACTAGGAATTACAAAAAAAATAACAAAATTAACACTTAATGCAAAAATTAATAACTATAAAAAAACAAGCTAACAATAAAGAAATAGCAAAAAAAATTAACAGTTAATAACTAATAAAAACAAAAGAACAATTAAGCGACGAGAGTGAAAGAAATCGAAATAAAGTTCTAAGGCAAGGATACTTGAAAGTGCTGGCTGACCAGTAGTAGCTCGGAAACTAATTCATCGTCAAACTAAATCAACTCCTTCTCTGTACATTCGCTTTCCTGAAGAGGTATATATAAGTTAAATACATTTAAACATGATAAAACGTTTAAAAATGTTTCAAGTTACACATTTCTTATTATACAACATTTATTTATATTTGTATACACATTTGAACTGTAATTAATCAAAAATAGCAAAGATTGGTACTTAAGGTTCTTATTTATTTGTTCATTACACATGCTTGAAACTTTTGATTTTGTCTTATTATTGTCCATTTTTTAAACTCATTATTTAATTAATTAAAAAATGTAAGTTATTTCAATAAATATTTTTTTTACAGGCCCTTGTTCAAGTGACCTTGTTCTACTGCTATGAAGTTCTGTAAAAAGAAGGCTATTTGCTTGAATTAGGAACATTTTGCATGATGAATATCTTTTGTCTTCATAGTCCTTTGTCATACATATGATATCATCATGTAGTTATAGTGTGCTATAGCTGCATAAAAAACCTTCATGTCGCAAATGGCAGTTTCAAATATTCCTGGACAAAATCCTGGGCAACAAAGTTTGTTAGGCACAGTTAATATTATTTCTTCTAGCCAAAGTAACGGACAGCAAGGACTGCTTAGCACAGTCAATGTTATGTCTTCTGATCAAAATACTGTTCCACAAAATCAACTTGGCAATGTTGGTAATGTTCTTCCTGGACAAAATGTTGGGCAACAAAGTTTGCTTACAACTGCAAATCAAGCAACATCAACTTTTGGTCCATTTTCTCACGTCTCAGATATTGAAAAACGTAGATATCATCAGCAGTTAGTACTGCTATTACATGCTTATAAATGTCAAAAGCGTGATTCTACAAATGGTGAAGTGAGAGGAGAGTGCAATTTGGCACAGTGCCAAGGAATGCGACATGTCCTAAGTCACATTCAAGTGTGTCAAGCTGGCAATGCTTGTACAATTCCTAATTGTGCTTCATCAAAGGCCCTCATATTACACTGGAAAAATTGCACTCAAAGAGAATGTGCATTATGTTTGCCACTCAAACAAGCTCATGGAAGACGACAACAGCAACCTCCTGTTGTCCAAACAAGTCAAGCAAATCAAGTCCCAAATCAAGCTGTTGTTCAAAGAGCCTATTCTTCTTTAGGACTTCCATTTCCTAGTAATAATAGCAATGTTATGGATTCAGGTTTACAGAATCAAGGTCAAACACTTGAAAGTGAGCGTGCTTCTCAAAGTCCTTCCCAGTTAGTAAATCATATTCAACTGCCACAGACAGCTCAACAGCAGTCAAATGTTCAGCTACGAACGATGCTTCAGAATAATGCATCAGGGGCTAATACAAACCCTGCAACACAATTGGTCTTTATGGGAGAACCTTCTGTTAAAACAACTAGTGCATCTCTTATGAATTCAGTTCCAAATCAAATGTCTCCCCTCGTTTCAAACATCACTAGTTGTGCTCCTACTAATGTTAAAGATTGGCACCAAGCTGTCACTTCTGATTTGCGGCATCATTTAATTCAAAGGATTATTCAAGAAATCCTAATTGTACTTAACAAAAAAGATTTAAATGACCCAACTGATCCTGCTTTTATGAATGTCATCAACTATGCTCGTAGAAATGAAGCAGTTATGTATGATTCAGCTAATACTAGAGAAGAATATTACCATTTGCTAGCAGAAAAAATTTATAAAATACAGAGAAGAGAACTGTCAGATGGGAGACAGCGTCGACCAGAACTTCGTAGACCTCAAGTTGGCACTGGATTGGAAACTACTGCCCCTGTGAATCAAGCTCCTAGAATTCAAGGAGCAAATCAGATTCAACAGTTAAATTTACCAAATGCTGGTGTGTCGGCGACAAGGCAAAGAATGCCACCACCTAATGTTACTGTTCTCCCTAATGCTACTCCTCGTGGATCAGAGTTATTTTCTTCTGGATCTCAGTTGCCTGCTTCTTTAAATAACACTATTAATATGAATCAGGCTCAAGTTAGACAAAACAATTTATCCTTAAGTAGTTTGCAACAGCACCAGTTTCAACAACAGCACTTAAATCATTTAAATTCTTCTAACTCTACAATTGGATCATCTAATGTTGATTTGTCTACCATTTCTTCCACAACAATATCAGCATCACAGTTTACTTCTACTCAGCAAAACAATTCTCAAGCAGCAAATGCTTTTAAAGCTAGACAAAATTTGCTTCAATATCAACAACAAGCGTCAATTTTAAGGCAGGTAGAACAAGAACAGTCTGTAACACCTAGCATAAATTCTCAATCTCTCATGATGAATCAACAGTTTCAGCAAAATCAGATGCTAAATGACCAGCAGCAGCAAAATCAAATGATAAATCAGCATCAAAATACTGTTTTGAACCAGCAACAACAAAACCAATTATTGAATCATTCTCAGCAACAAAATCAACTTTTGAACCAGCAACAGCTTCAACAGAATCAGCTGTTAAACCAACAACAGCAGCAAAACCAAATTTTAACTCAGCAGCAACATAACCAGATGCTTAGCCAGCAACAGAATCAACTTTTAAACCAACAACAGCAAAATCAGATTTTAAATCAGCAACAACAAAACCAAATTTTAAATCAGCAACAACAGAATCAGATCTTAGGTCAACAGCAAAATCAGCTTCTAAATCAGCAGCAGCAAAATCAGTTATTAAGTCAGCAACAACAAAATCAAATGTTAGGACAGCAGCAAAATCATATTATAAACCAGCAGCTGCAGCAGAATCAGCTATTGAGCCAACAGCAAAACCAGCTGCAACAGGTTCAGTCTCAGCAGCAAAATCAGGCTATCCTGAATAGAGTTGAAATTAAGTCACAGCCAAGTCTCCCACCACAATTGTCCTCTCAGTCTAGTGGAAATCAATTAGTTCACTCATCTACACCTCAACCACAATCACAGCAATCACCAATTCAACAGCCACCTAGAGCTGCATCTGTACCAGTAACACATCCTGCAACTCCATCTACTCCTCAACAAACTAGTACTAATATACCTCAGGAAGAAGCTCCCATGGAAAATAATAATGAAGTTCAGTTATTGCAACAGCCCGAAAGTCATACCTTACAACGACCACCAGCACAATCTTATTCTGAAATTCATCTTCAATCATTTCAGCAAAATAATATTCAGTCTTTGCCTCAAATAGGCGATCAGTCTCTAAACCAAGATGATCAATTCTTACAACACACTGTTGGCCAGTCTCCACAGTTAACAATGACTCAATCAACACAACAGAACGCTCAAACTTTGCAACAGAATGCTAACCAGCCAATGTCTAAAGAAATGATCAAAGTAGAAGATTGTAGTGATGAAAAACCCGTCTCATCATTTTCAGAAACAGAATATTTATCTAATCAAGCCAGCGGTGAAGAATCACGTAACTCTCTTGCAGGACAGTCTGAATCTGAATCAAATCAATCAGGTGGAAAGGTATTTGCTTTTTCTTTACAAAAAATATCTGGGAAAGACAATTATCCAGAAAAAGTCGAAGAGGTTAAGATTAAAACTGAAAATTTGGATGATCAAGAATTGCCTTCAAAGCAAAGTCCTAAGGTCGAAGTAAAAATGGAAACTGATGCTGATAGCCAGAAGCGTGCTCTTGAAGATACTAAAGATTCTGTTTCTGCTGCACCAGATGCATCTCTTCAAGCAAAAGTGAAGGTTGAAGTTAAAACAGAAACTGCTGTAGTTAAGACAGAAATTAAAAAAGAGGCTTCAGAGCCTCCTATGAAAAAGTTCAAAGCCAATCAAAAGATATTCAAGCCAGATGAATTGCGTCAAGCATTGATGCCAACTTTAGAAAAGTTATATAAACAGGATCCCGAATCACTGGCCTTTCGACAACCTGTTGATCCTGAAGAATTGCATATTCCTGATTACTTTGATATCATAAAGACACCTATGGATCTATCAACAATTAAGGAAAAACTTGATACAGGCCAATATCAAGATCCTTGGCAATATGTCGATGATGTATGGTTAATGTTCAGTAATGCCTGGCTGTATAACAAAAAATCCTCAAAAGTTTATAAACATTGTTCGAAGCTTGCTGAAGTTTTTGAGCAAGATATTGATCCAGTCATGCGATCATTAGGATATTGTTGTGGAAGAAAATATGCTTTTCAGCCTCAGATTTTATGTTGCTTTGGGAAAGAATTATGTACAGTACCTCGTGACACAAAGTACTGGAGTTACCAGAATCGTTATATTTACTGTCAGAAATGTTTTACTGATATTGCTGGAGATACTATTTCCATCGTGGAAGATCCTACTCAGCCAGCTGTAACTGTGAAAAAGTCAGATTTTATCGAACTGAAAAATGATCATTTAGATCAAGAACCATTTATAGAATGTACTGATTGCTGCAGGAAATTGCATAAAATATGTGTTCTCCATTTTGAACAAATTTGGCGAGAAGGATTTTTGTGTGATGACTGCTATCAGAGAAAAGCTAAAAAGAAAAAAGAAAACAAATTCACTGCCAAGAGATTGCCACAAACAAAACTTGGATTGTTTCTTGAGAATCGGGTTAATACTTTCTTAAAGGACAGAGAATGTGGTGCTGGGGAAGTTACAATTAGAGTCGTAGCTAGTTCAGAAAAGTTTGTAGAGGTTAAACCTGGCATGAAGGCAAGATATGTTGATACTGGGGAAATGTCTGAGAAATTTCCTTATTTGGCAAAAGCTTTATTTGCTTTTCAAGAAATTGATGGTGTAGACACATGTTTCTTCGGAATGCATGTTCAAGAATATGGATCAGAATGTCCACCACCAAATACTAGGCGTGTTTATATTGCATATTTAGATAGTGTTCACTTTTTCCAACCTAGAAAACTCAGAACATCAGTTTATCATGAGATTTTGTTGGGTTACTTGGATTATGTGAAGCGTCTAGGTTATGCAATGGCTCATATTTGGGCATGTCCTCCGAGTGAGGGTGATGATTATATATTTCACTGCCATCCAGTAGATCAGAAAGTTCCTAAACCAAAAAGACTACAAGAGTGGTACAAAAAAATGTTAGAGAAAGGTGTTAACTGCAGAGTTGTTGTAGATTTCAAAGATATTCTTAAGCAGGCCACTGAAGATAACTTAAAAAGTGCTGCTGAGTTACCATATTTTGATGATGATTTTTGGCCAAATGTTCTAGAAGAAAATATTAAGGAACTGGAACAGGAAGAAGAAGAAAAAAGAAAAGCTGAGGCAAATGTTGTTACAACAGCTACTGCAACAGCTTCTGAAGCTGATGTTGATGAAGAAGATAGTGTTGATGGTAAAAAGAAAGGTCAGAAAAATGGACGTAATAAAAAGTCGAATAAAAGTAAAAACCAAAGAAAAAACACTAAAAAGTCAAATTTACCTTATACTGGGAATGACTTAACTGCAAAAATTTATTCCACAATGGAGAAGCACAAAGAAGTGTTTTTTGTGATTCGCTTACATTCATTGCAAGTTGCAGCCGGTTTGTCATCTATCATTGATCCAGATCCTTTTATAAGCTGTGAATTGATGGATGGTAGAGATCAATTCCTAACTTTTGCTAGAGATAATCACTATGAATTTTCCTCCCTTAGAAGGGCAAAGTTTTCTAGCATGGCTATGTTGTATGCTTTACATAATCAAAACCATGACCAATTTGTGTATACATGTAATTCATGTAAATCTAATGTTGAGACAAGATATCACTGTAGCCAATGTGAAGATTTTGATTTATGTGTCGCTTGCTATAACAAAGAAGGTCATAAACACCGCATGGATAAATTAGGTTTTGGTTTAGATGAAGATTCATCCAATTCTGATGCAAAATCCGCAATCAATCCACAAGATTCCAGAAAACTATCTATTCAAAGATGTGTACAGTCTCTTGTACATTCGTCTCACTGTAGAGATGCAAATTGCCGTATGCCTAGCTGTTTAAATATGAAAAAGATTGTTGCTCACGCCAAACAATGTGAAAGGAAAACCAACCGAGGCTGTGCAGTTTGTAAGCAATTTATTGCTTTGTGTTATCATCATGCAAAAGCTTGTCAAGAGACAAAGTGTCCTGTGCTGTTTTGTTTGAATATTAGACATAAGTTGCGACAACAGCAATTGCAACATAGGAAACAACAAGCACAAATTCTTAAGAGACGAATTGCAACTATGCAAAATCGTGGAATGCCATCAGCTGTTACACAGAATACTCCAGAGACGTCGTATGCCGCTAGCCAGCCACCACCGGTAGTACAGGCGCCGGCACCTCCTTATCCTACGCAACCTGGAATGGATATGAAGCAGCTCCAAGTTGCTCCTGGCATGAATCCTATGCAAGCAGTTCAACAAGGGCAAACTATACGGCTTGCAATGCCTCAACATGTAGCTGCTGGGAATGTAAGCTATGGAAAAGGCAATCCAATGGCTCGACCTCCAGTACCTAATGCCACCTTAATGTCACAACAACAGATGCAGGCTCAGATGCAACAGAAACCGTTACCTCAAGTACTTGGCGTACCAAATCGGGTGATGGGAATGGGTGGCGTTAATCGATGGGAAAATACCAATTACATGCAGAATTCTCAACCTCATCCAAACCTGCAACCACAGCCTTCTCAACAAATGGGATTACGGCAGCAATCGCAACTCATTGGACCAGGTGGTATGGCTAGTTCACTTGGGAACCCTGCTGTTAAAGGTCCATCTCAACTTGTGCCTAAGCAAGGACCTTCCTTGCCAAACCAGCAAAATTCACTTCAAACTCTAATTCAAACTCTAAAATATCAACAGTCTCCTCAACAACAGCAACAAGTGCTTTCAATATTAAAATCTAATCCACAGTTAATGGCTGCTTTCATTAAACAGAGGACTGCTCAGAAAATGCAACAACAACAACAACAACAACAGCAGCAACAACAACAACAGCATCAGCAACAACAACAACAGCAGCAGCAACAACAGCAGCAACAGCAACAACAGTTATTAAATGGTGGAAATGTTATTCTGCATCCTTCTCAGTCTAATATTCGATATAGACAACAACATTTGTTAGCTTTTAGGCAACAACTTCAACAACAACAGCAGCAACAACAACAACAGCAGCAACAAGCAAATCAATTTTCTCATCCACAACCACCAATGTATGCCCAACGTCCAAGAATGCCTATAGCTTCCAGTTTTGGCCACCAGCAGCGATTTCAGACAGACAATTCTCAATTTCAGTTTCAGCAACAAAATTCACAAACTATTTTACAATCCCAAATAAAGCAGATGGCTTCTCCTACTCATCCTCCCGTAAGCCCTCAGCAAGTGATCCTTGATAATAATCAAGGTTCAATACCTTCACCTTCACAGCAACAAATTTTGCAACATTTAAGATCCCCTCCTCCAAATGCTCCTCATCTTGCACAAGCAATCGGTTCCCCTCAACCTATTGCTTCTCCTAGGACTTGGGTTAATGTTCCTCAAGGTCAACCCATACCATCACCAAGACAACAAATGTCATCACCGCACTACCCTACCCAAAGTCAATCACCTCATTCGAGTCTTAGTTTTGGAACTGGTGGACTTGCTGGTTCAGATCAAATGACTGCTAATAATGATCTATATTCTCATTTATCAAACTCAGTGTCATTTCATCCTAGCATGTCCAACCAGTTACAGGGCACAGTTAATCAAGATTTAAATCTGTCATCAGCTGACAATGTGGACATGAGTCATCAAACTAGAAATGAGCAACTTGATAAGTATGATAGCTTTTAACATCATAGTATATAAAATTTTTTTCTTTGTTCATTTTCTAAAAAGAAGTGGGCTTGAGTTCTTTTTTATACCAGTATTTTTGTACAAAACTGTTACGGTTATTAGTTGAGAAACTCGTATCCTAATGACCGTTCATGAAGATAATATATAGTTTTTTGGAACAACGAACATTGTATGACTCATATCAAGTTAAATTTTGTACATTACAAGTGCATTAGCTGTGCATAAAAAAAAAAAAAAAAATTAGACCATAACTGTTACAATATTGAATGAGGCGCTACTTCATTCTTCGTAGAAAGACTAACAATGAAGTGATTTAGATTTTTATAATGTCACTTGTTTATCATGATCTCACAAGAGTTTTGATATGAGACGTTGGTTGGACTTTTTTTTTCGTTTGCTTTGTATAGACATCAAGAGTGTGCAAAACAAATGCACAAACATAAGCAGCCATAATCTATTTTATTCAGTTGTAGATAAATCCTGCATTTATGAAATACTCAACATATTTCAGGACTAAAAGGAGTTTTACTTTACTCTCTCTCTTTCTCTCTGAAAAAACAAGAGATAGAACTTCAACTTTGTTCACGATGTAATATCTTTATAAATATGTCAGACATCAATTTATTTCCCCCTTATTCTAAGACATTCCAAAAAATATCCCTTTACATTTTTTGGAACAATTATGAACTTTGAGTAAATTTTATGTACTTGTTAGTGTTACAAATTTTTAAATTATTATATTATGTTTATTATATAGCACACTTACTGCTCAAAACTTATGTTACTTGTGTATTCAGAGGGCTCTTACTTTTAATACTGATTCTCCCCCCCCCCTTTCCTGAAGTTATTTTAATTCATTTTACTTATAGTACTTTCTAGGTTATACAAAATCTTAAATTTAGAGAAGATTTATATGTGGCCTTATGTAAATATTTTTCTGAAATTAAATGTACTTAAATTATAAATTTTTTTATATAAAGATAAATATGCTGAGTAAGTATTTAATCAATCCCCTTCCTTCTTAAGTAAATATTCATGAATTTATTGAAAAAGTATTCTTGAACTTGACTTGTAGAATGTTTAAAATTCTAACATTTGTAGTATTATATGAATATTGCTTTTTGTGACATTGCAACTGCATAGATGGTAAAAAATAAAATTATTTCCCTGAAAGTAATTGCTTGGATGTTTTAAAAGTAATGGACTTTGTTCTATAATGTTTTATTTTTGAACTTGCGCAAAATTTTTTTTTGTGTGCAATTCTAAATACACATTTAATAATTGTAATTTGTGGATAAGTGTGAATAATTCTTTTTAGATAGTGAGTTTTTTACTTTATTTTTTAGGCTGCCATTTTTAAATATTACAAATCTGAATTTATTTTTTGCTTCTAACTGAAGTATGCAAACCTCCAAAAGTTTAAAAAGCTTCTCTTTGTTAATTCTATACGAATAGCATTTGAATTTGATGTAAAAGCTATGGTAAATTGTATGTTATAGAATTGTTAGCTTATTTTAGGAGATTATGATCGAAACCTTCTAAAATATTGGCATCTGTTTGTACTTCTCTGACAACCAGCTTGAACAACTAACATCTTTGCAAAAATACTTTTATTCTTCAACAACAAAAATGAATACATTAAAATTGTCATCTAAGGAGAAACCTATCTTCCTTCCTAAACATGCAAATTTCATATTGGTATTGATAAATAGTATGTACAAATTTTGTACATGCTATAATTTGTGTAAGAAGGAAGATAAACTTTTGCTTGGATAACAATTTTAAATGTATTAAGTTTTTCTTCTACAAGAATTAAAAGATATTTGCCGAAATGTGACTTATTCAAGTTTGTTTGTTGAAAAGGCTAACTTCTTTTAACGTGTTTGTACAACAGTACAGATTGCATGATTTTTCAAATTTAAGATCAACTGCATGATCTTTAAAATCTGTTAATATTTATGAAATTTTCAAGAGCTTCAACTGGGATGCGTGCTTATTCTATAGTATTAACATTGTGAACACCATTAACTTTATGAAATCTTTGTATTTCATTATTTTCCGATTGTTACACATTTAATATAATGTAAACATCAAATATTTAATTTTAAAATTGAAAGCTCGGTGTTATGAAATATTATTGGTTGAAAAGAAGTTAATGCAATATGAATGCTTCTAAGAAATTTGAAACTAAAAAAAAAGAAAAGATTATTTTGTTGTTTGCAGAAAGGTTCAACTGTTTTTATTTTTAAATTTCTTTTTTCAATTTCGACAGTAGCAGAAACTTATATTGTATCATTTGTGAATTTTTCACTGTACGAAACTAAATGAGATGTTAGTTTTCGTCATAAAATTCAATTGACAATTCAAATATTATCAGTTTAACACACATATAACAAACAAAATTAACATATATAAATTAATAAATAAAATAGTTTTTCACACTTTCATATTAAACTCCTCTTTTTATTTAAAAAATTTTGTGATTTTTTTCTAATGTAATCTGCTGGCAATTTATATATTTAATTTATGAATCCACAATTTTTATTTAATAATGCAGTTTTGTCTACCACATTATTTTATTATCACCAATTTATTTAAATAGAGTTTATGGATTTTTTGAGTTTATAAATTTAAAAATTTTATTAAATAAAGTCGTGTTTCACTACTTTTTATTTTATTCATAATATTGCTTTATGTAATAAAATTTTTAAATTTGTGTATGTTTATTAGTGAATTTATATTATATTTAATGAAATTTGTAAATCACTAACACCTTTTATTAAATAAAGCTAGCTTATTACCATTAGATTAAAATTGCTGCTTTATTTAAATAAAATTTTGAATTCATCTGTATTTTTGCTTGTTATTTCTAAAATATATCTCCCAAAAAGTTAATTTTCTAGACTTAATTAAATTAGTTATTTGTGAAGTTTTAAAATCAATATCTTATGTTGACTTATAAGTTAATCAAATCTAATGGAAGTGGAAAAAGCTTTAAAAGGGTATTTTATTTTGGTAGTTTTTAAAAGAGTAATTAAATCATAATTTTAACCCTAAAAAATAAAAATTACAATATACTAGTTTAAATAAAAAAGCATTTTGTAGATCAATAAAATACATTATTTATAGTTATTCCCATAAAATAAACAAATTATAAATACAGTTTAATATATTTTTTAATAAATTTTCCTCAGTTATAATGTATCAATCTATGAGAAGATTTGTCAAATATTTCAGTTTGATATAAATAGATAATGACTCTAAAACCCTAAATCTCTTAATGGCAAACCAGGCTGTTTCTTTGTCACATACTTTTTTTAAGCATGTAAAATTGTTGATGCTACTAATTAGCTTGTAAATATTTCTTTCATTGTAATTGTGTGCACAAAAAAAGAATCACAATCAAAGAATGTTTTGATATTTTAGAAACCGCTAACTAAAATTTTTAAGAATCATTTTATAATTTGATAAGAAATAAAATGATGCAATAATTTTATTGTAGGAGTAAAAATGCTTTTGTTATGTAATGTGTGTATATTTAATAATGATAATAAGGAGTGGTTAAAAAAAAACAGCAACTAAATATAGTGTTAAATGGTAAAAGAATAGTAAAAAGATAGATAATAATGTATATAATTCAGTCATGAATTATAAAATTTGACATTTTTATGTAATGCAAAATGAATGAATTTTAAAAATTAATGCAAGTTTTTATATTTTACAGATTTTTAATAGTGATATAACTACTCTCGAGTTGAACAATGTTTCTACACTGTTAATACATTAAGAAAAATTCCTAGATGATATAATAATTATTTCTGTTGCTTTCTCCCAAAGTAATTTTGTGATGTGCACATATTGTAATACAAATTGTATTTCGTAATATGTTTTGATTCCAAATGGAGTTTTCCCCTTTAATACACAAGTATCGAAGTATATATTTATTTTTGAATCTATAAAGTGATTTTAGTTTGCATAAATAAAAAAATTTCCAATATGAAATGATTCAGACAACACATTAAAGCAATAAAACATTGATATTTCTGTGTATAATCATAGAAAGCCAGTTGGCGTTTTCTTGAAGTGTTGTTTGTATTTATATTCTTTGTTTTATTGTATTCTGTAATCATGAAAACAGCTATAAAATGAATATTTTCTTTTGAATTTTGTTTTTGTTTTAAATTTTGGATGTATTTCAAATTTATGCCTGAAAGACTAGTGATAAATGTCTGGCAAATTAAACTGAAACAATTTTATTTCATTTATCATTTAACTGAGAGATCTATTATAAGATGTATTTAGAAATAGTAAAAGGTTTAAGCACCATGTGCTTTTAGCTCGTTGTTTTTTCTCATCATTTTTTTTTAAGGTTACACAATATAGGGATTTTAAAATGGAGGCATACATAAAGAAGATGGTTATTTTAAGTCAAGTGACCTTTGGTGCGTAATACAAAACTTAAACCTGAATAACTTATGATTTGATGATAAGCTTTTTGCTTGCTAAGATGCAATTTTAGAATTAAGTCTCAGAAGGTTAAGTCACATTTTTGAAAAAAATATGGTTTGTTGGGGGAAATATCTTGTTTTCATCTTATTTGATTACATATTCTGTAGTTGATTTATTTTGCTAAGTGAACCCAACCAATAAAGGCTCTAAGGGATAGCCTGTGAGTTTTTGGAGTAGAAGATTCAAAGTGCATTTTGTAATAAACATGCTACAAGTAACCTTAGAATATCTGTTTTTGGCAGTAAATTAAAACGCTCAGAGTGAGATGATGAGAGCTGACTAAATGAGTACTTGGGATTAAGGCTGAGGACAAGCTTGGAAAAAGCAGCTTTTTCATCCCTTAGTGAAATAGATATACCACAAAAACAAATTGAAAGAAATGTTATATTCCACAAGAACAAATTGTTAAGATAGGGCATTCTACATTCTAATTCCTCATAAATCTATCACTCCTTATCTCCCCTTCTGCTGACCGCCGTTCAAACCCCCTACGTTTAGCGTCTACCATGTAAAAGGGGGCGACCACAAACCATTTGTAGCTTAAAATTATCAATGTGTAATTTTGGGATATCTATTTCACTGAGGAAAGCAAAAGCAGCTTGTCCTCAGCATTCAGTTTTTACCTATTGACTTGTAAATAAGATATGAAGGTATGGGATAAGAGTATCCCTGTTGTCAAGATCCAATATTTTAATTCGCTCAATTATTTCTAGGCAAATAGTGAAATTCTGTTAAACTTAAACACTGATTTAATCAAATTCACTAAAAATTTGCTCCGGAAAATCTTCCACTTGGAAAGACCCACATGCTCATTATATAGCAGGGTGGTGGCATTTTTAAAAAGTGCTTATTTTCGATTTTGGTTTTTTAAAAGCCCTTAAAGGTACTTTTTTCATTGGGTGTTTTTAAAAAGTACTTAATTTTCCCTTTTCGAAAATATTTTTTTCTTTAACATTTCGATTTTCGCCACATGAAAAAGCGTACTTACACATTGTTCTATTCAACGTTTTCACAATTCCTTCAACCACAATCTATTTCGGCGTGCCGTAGCGTATTAAAGCGTCAATCATTTTACATGTTTTATGAAATACTAGCAAGTCTGCATGTGAGCCTACTAAGCTGGGTTCGGTGAGATTATTGCACTCTCGTGTGCAACTGCTGCACTTAGCAAGATATTCTCAATTTCAGACTTCATTTTCCAGCTTCTGAAATCGAACCGAAAAATCTCTCTATTTTTTTTTTATGGTGACTGATATAATCAAGAAAAGAGTTCTTTGTCAGAAACTAGTTATTTTATCATGATCATGTAGTCTTTGAAAATTAATTTGCATTTTGTTAATGTATATAGTACTCATTTTTTGTTGAAAGATTTGGCTATGTACCCTGTCACTCCTTAAGTTATCCTGGGAGTTTTTTTAAAAGTAGAGTAGTATAGTTTGTCTACGTTAAGAACTCCCTTTGCCACAAAGTCTGAGGCCGTTTGCTGCTATGGAAACAAGAGTAGCGCATTTCAGGGAGGTTCGTATCTGTCCACTGTTAGGAAGTTATAAAATTAGACACAAAAACGTATTCTCTCTGATTAGAATTTTTTTTAAACCCATATTTACATTGAATAGTTCCAATCAGTAGGTATGATTCTAATTGTTTAATCAAGAGGGTGATCTAAGGTTTAGTTTCTCAGGGGTGATTGCGAGCCCAAGTCAAAATTCTGGAAAATTTCTTGAGTTAAAAAAAAAAAAAATATTTAATTAAAAAATTTAAACAAGGTTTCTTTCCTTTTTCTCAATATTTCTTAGTTTACTTAAAATATATTTAAAATTCTACACAATTACCATTTACACATACCTAAGATGACCTGAAGAAGTAATTAAAATGAACAAATATGTCTTTCTTTCTTGAGTTTATGATTATAACAACTATTTACTGATAAAAAATGAATATTAATCATGAATATAAGCTTATAAAGCATCTCTCTGGCTCTCCCTTACAAACGAATAAAATAAACTGTTTTTTAAGTTCCACCTTTGAAAATTTGATTTTCGGAAACTTCTGTGATCAATGATTTTTTGAAACGTCTGGACCTTCTATCTCCGGATCACTGTTAGCGAAAATTCCGGAAATCCGGAGCACCATCAGCCCTGGTTTCTAGAATGTTACTATGCACTTTCACTCTATTTAGGTAATTCTCTAGAGTTAATTGATAGAATCAAAGAATTTTTGGTCCTATTTCCCCACACATAACTTCTTTCGAAAACTACTTTAAAGAGGATCAATAGCATTTAGAATTATGAATTTTGCGAATTTTATAATTTTTAAAACTATGTAATTTTAAATTTAAAAATAGAAGATATTTCATAATAATTTTTGATTGACTTACAATTGAAAGTTTTTTATTATCAGAATCAATTATAAAATAATTAAAAAAAATTTTTTGGGGGTTTTAACTAATCTAGTTTTAAATAAGTTAAAATAATGTTTCAGTTTGCTAAATTACTTCTCGAGAGATGGTGAAATTAACATTGAGTGACTTTGGAACTTTCGGTGGGTCATCTGACTAAACCATATCCAGGATATCCCCATATCTTAGGTGTTCATTCCATTGTCTTTTGCAATAATTAGTACACTCAGAAAATGGCACAAAAACATTCTCCAGATTATAATGCTCCCTCCACCAGCAAATGTTGCAGGTTATTAGTTTTCAGATGTTTCACACTATGTCCAATGGAGCATAAATCTTGATTAACCGGAAAAAGCCACCTGTCTATACTCAGTGGGTGTCCAGTTGCAGTACTTGCGTTCAAATAACAGCCTCCATTGCAGAACAGCATTAACCAAGTACCTGTTGAATCTAGTCCAGATGCAGCCAATCGTTCACCTCTGGTTCGTGGTGCAAATCACAACGTTTTTAGATTCCCTTGGACACCATTTACAGGGTTTCAACTCAATTTCAGAAAAAAAATTCCCTGACTTCTCCAGGTATATTTCAATGAAAATCCAGAGCATATTTTATTTATTCCATGCAATTTTTCATCAGATTTTCGTGGTTTCCCTCTCCATGTAACGCAAATGCGGGTTAGTTCCATCAAGAAGTCCTCCACGAAGGCAAAATTTCTCCCAATACTTGATCCAGGAGTTCCCTTGTCTTCTGGTTTGGGTTCAAAATTACAAGGTTACGTAGTTGAACATTAGTAGTCGTAAACTCAAAAATTGGGTCCGCTCTGCTCTTCAACGACGATTATAAAATATAAGACCCTCTGGATGCCGTGTGAGGGAATTTTGTGCAAAGATTACATTTCGATAAAAACGTGGGTTTTGCCTTCTGAGTGTGAGAACTACACAATCGTTTTTAATATCATTCTTGAGCAGAAGGTAATATGTCGGCAAAGTTATTTTACAATCATAGTGCATTTTTTCTTCTGTTAATTTTATTTTAAAAAATCTGACAGAAAAATTTACTATATTAATAAATTACAGACAAACAGCAACAGCTCATGAACTCAAAGGAAAGCTCTTCCTGATAACCTTTATATGGAATTCTTTAAAAATATGTTCTGAAAACAAAAGTTTTAAAAATTTGATGTGAATAAAATTTTGCTGATATAAAAATAATAATTATATCTAGTATGTTCTGCATTTATATTTGCTGAAACCCTACCTAAAATAAGCAAATTAATATTTAAGGGACAAGAAATAAAAACATTGTCAAATCACTAGAGAGAAAGACAGATTGAAAATATCAATGACAATTTGGTTTTCCAATAAAACTAAAAGGTGTTGAAAAATAAGTAACGGTTCTAATTTCCTGTTTCTTTCAGCATTGAAACAGGCCTTAATCATTTTAGCCCTGCTTTTTTGTGAAGTGAAGTGCTAGATTTTCACAAATATTAATATAATACCTCAAAGTGCATACTTTTTTGACAAGGATTTCAAAAACATATGTTACACAAAAGTGTGTGATTATGAACATACTTAGGCTGATGATAAAAAAATTTAAATAACTAAAGCAGGGTGCCTAGCCAGAATTTTCAACAAAAAATAAGTACCTTTTAAGCACTCAAAAATATTTTTAATCACTTTAAAAAAAAATCACAATTAGGATCTGTGCAGTAATAATTTTTTTCTCTCTAGTGTTTAAAATTCTTAATTTATAAACATAAAATCAATAAAGTTAAGCACTTTTTGCAAGCCCCATATAAAAAAAAAGCACCTTTGAAAAAGGTAAATCAAAAATAAGCACTTTTTAAAAATGCTACACAACATGTTAAGAGTAAGTTCAAATAGTTTGTTGAGAGAGTATGAATGAGACTAAAATATGAGATTATTTTTAAACTTTTTAATAACACTCACAGAAGAACATACACAAAATATTTTTAATTTTTTTTTTGTTTTGTTTGAACAATAAAGAAGTAAATTACAAGGTATCAAAATACAGTACAAAACATTTATAAGAGTTTTGCAATATATAAAATACCATAACTCAGTTTCCACAAAATGGACATGATTTTAGTAAATGAATATTTAAAACTTTCAACATAAAATGCTTTTCTGACAGTCTTAGGAATTAGTGAAGAAAATTATGAACATAATCGAATTGTGGTCCTGCCAGTCACCACAACAAATTCATCATCTTGAAGATCTTTCAAGACTTCTTCAAACATATCTCGGGTGATCATCTGCAAAAAAATTTATTTAAGAATAAACAGTTATTCCCATTAATAAAACAATATGAATACAAGTTTTATTATGTACTATTGAGTCTTATCTTGTACACTTTTATTAATGTAATTAATAGCACTTTTTAACTTAAAAGAAAGTTTTAAATCATTTTTTTTATACTAAAAACTAAAACTATGAACTATTTATTGAAGCTATAGAAAAAGACAGATAAAACATTTAATATGTTAAGTGCTTCATGAAAAAAAAGAAGAGAAAACAAAATTATTTTTAAAGCTAAACAATCAGCATTATACAGTCAATTCGCTATAACTCGAAGTACGATAACTCGAATATTACTATAACTCGAATTTTTTATGAGGTCCTGACCCTTTTATCTTCAATTTCATGTTAATTATTCTTGATTACTCGAATTTTACTCCCTTTAACTCGATTTTTTTTGGATCTTTTAAAGCAAGAAAAAAAACCTAGGAGCTGATATCTTGCCCCTTCCTTTGCAACACACACAATGTCTTTCGCACTCTTCATGGAGAAGCTAAAGCTGTCCCTCTTGAAGTATGTGAACAGTGGTTCAATGAAACGTTACCAATTTACTTCAAGGATACAGTTAAAATGATGTTTTCAACATTGATGAAATGGGTTTACTTTTTAAATGTCTTCCAAATAAGACTATGATGTTTAAGGATGAAAACTGCTCAGAGGGTAAAATGAGCAAGGAGCGTTTGACTGTCCTAGTTGGAGGAAATGCATCTGGGACAGAGAAATTGCCCTTACTTGTTATCGGAAAATACCGAAATCCCCGATGTTTCAAAAATGTAAAAACGTATCCTTTGGATTACAAGTCTAACAAAAAGTTTTGGATGACATCAGTTTTATTTGAAGACTATGTAAGAAAATTGGATCGGAAATTCTTCGCTAAAAAAAAGTGATACTCTTTATGGATAAATGCACAGCGCATAGTGATCTACCCAATTTGAAAGCAGTAAACTTGCAGTTTCTCCCGAAAAACACAACAGCAAAGTTGCAGCCAATGGACCAGGGTATCATAAAGTGCTTCAAACAGTCTTATCGTAAATGGCTTGTCTGAAAAATGCTCTTAAATATTGTAAGCATTTAGAAGATTTGTAATTAATAAGCATTAATTAAATAATCGGACAATATTTTGAAAGTCCAAAACCGAAACTAACGGTAAGTCGAACTTCCGATATGTCGAAGTTTTTCGTCAGTCCAATCAGATTAGAGTTATCGCGAATTCACTCTATATATATTCACATATCAGTAAAATAAATACACGGAAGCAATTTCGGTAAATTTTATTTTTAAACTTTTTGCACTAACTTTGAATTTTAGGAGTGATCAGATTTAATAGAAGGATGACCACAGAACAGAGAAAAGTCAAGGAATTCCACCAAAATACCCAAGAAGTCAAGGACCTACGAGTCTAAAATTTTTTCTAAGACTGGTCTTGAAATATTTTAAAATCAAGATTTTAGAATATTAGTGTTTTGTAATATATTTTATGTAATCTGCATTCTCCATTTCTTGAGCTTCTCAATTACCAGTCACGATCTAAAGACATGCTAAACAACTAAAGATGCTGTACTTACAAAATTGTAAATGACATGATGTACAGCATGCGAAATAAAAACGGATCTCCAAGTTCTGGGACTCAAACTTGAAGGTTTGAGGGAGTGAACTTAAATATGCTAATTAATTAATGCAGACAATATTTTAAGTTACGAAATAAGACACAAAAGCATTGTTCTCTGAATAAACATACCTTTTTTTAAGAGTGCCACCACGCTATTAATAATTAAGTAGGAAATTTGAAACAATACAGTTACATTTTTTCTGCATTAGCTCAATTATATGCAAGTTAAGATAGATAAGAGCTTCTTAACAGACAAACTGATACAAATGAAAGTTAAAATGTTTAAAAGAAAATATTACAGAAGACTATAACAGATTATAAATCAATAATATTAAAATATTAAGAGTGCCAGACATGTTATTAAAAATTAAGCTCTTCAAAAATAGATAACTTAAAAAGTTTCACTCAATTATGGGTAGATGTCAAAACTAACGAAATAAAGAATTTAGGATATTATATAGACAAAGAAAAATCAATGCATCGAGCATATGGGTGTACAATCTCTTTTGGAAGAAGGCCACAAAAATAAAAAGTTTAGCTCTTGAAGACAACAATAAATTTAATTTTTATATTAATTGATAATAGTTTTAAATATTTTTTGAGTTATAAAAACAATTTGTCTTAAAAAACAAACTATGTCAAGTAGAAGTTACGTATAAAATTTCCATACAGATGTCCAATATTTTACTTATTTAAAATAATTTGATGCTTTGCCTACACAAAAATGAAACTGAAAACAATTAATGTTATGCTTCTTTTACTATAAATAAATTATTGAAAATTTTAATAAATCTTTACTACATTTGTTTAGAAAATTATTTTGAGGTAAGAAATTTTTTTAAATATTTTTTTTTACATACTTTATTTTGAAATGTAGATGTTATAATTTTAGTGTTTTTTCAATGTTTATTAAAACTAGTTTCTAAAACAGTCAATTAATGCAATTGTGCTGTCCTAACCAAAAATATGAACTTAACAAATCAAAATATTAATTTATAATTATAATATATACAGCCGGACATCGATTTAACGAACTTCCATTTCGTGAATTTCTTCGAGGAACCAAGAACATTTTGAAAATTTCTTCGTAAAATAACTTCCAAATAGCGAAGTGAATTTTCTATTTAACGAACTTTTCATTGAGATCCTCTCCCTATTTTCCTATATTTCAGAACATTTCAAACCTGTTAACACACTTTATGGGGGAAATGACCTTGAATTAATTTTTGAAGCCACTGTTTTAAGTAATGTTTTACTGCTTTCTCTAAAAGTTAAGCAGTAAAATCCATTTCCCTTTTTGTTTGGAATTTCAAACGAAAAACTCAGTACAAATTAAGATTTTATCAGTGGCAATAAAACTTAAGAACGCATTTGGTAATGTATGTTTAAAATTACTTTTATAATAAATGCAGCTATAATTTTATACATAAATTCAGCATTTTTTTAAAGTTGAAAGATAGTGTAACACTGAATAATGTTTTGCTCTCTACTTGCCTTCATGCAAATTTCTTTTATGGTTAAGATTTATTAAATAAATAGTAGATACTAGTTTACAAGATAAAGGTGCATCAATTAATATTTTAATTATGACTAGACTTTAGGAATTTAAAATCTGTTTTGTGTTGTTTAAGTGTTTTAAACGGTGATTTTCTATTTAACGAATTTTCCATATAACGAACTTATTATAGGGATTTAGCGACTTCGTTAAATAGAGGTTCAACTGTATATATAAAAAAAATTAGTTTATCAAAACATATATAAACTACATTGCCTTCTTAAAATAATTTACTGTTTACTTAAATAATTTTTATCAAAGAAAATGAGCACTGCTCAAAGTTTCAGTTGATGTTCTTAAATGACTTTGTCCTTTAAGAATCTATAAACACATGTAATTTAATGAGACTTACCAGATCAGATTGGCCTTTTAACTCATCAAACACTTTAGCATAGTTGAAAGATTTAGTAGTTTTTCCTTTAGCAGTCAACATTTTTCTCAATATCTGTCCAATTTCAATACGACGTCTACGTGCAGTATTGCTCATTCCAGTAGTGAGAATAGATATGTCGATTTTACCGGAGGAGGGATCAGTAGCAGACTGTTTCAATGCTTCACGGTGCAACCTGATAAGAAATGTAAGAATAAGTAAGTTCAAAGGAAAATACATCTAACTACTGGGTTTACAGGGAATTTTATGAATAATTTCAGGGTATCTATAATTAAATATTTAGAAATTCTTTATTTTAATTGGAGAAGTTGAAAAATCAGTAAGATTTTAAATGCGAAGAATCCGTAAGTGCTAAGATAAGAATATTATCTGTTTTCTGGATACACCCAGGGCTAAAGAAGGGCTGGTTCATTCCATACTCTAACCTGAAACTACGATTTCCCACCTCATGACGTCACACCTCAGACAGATCTCAAAAATCAGAACTAGAGGAAATGAAAACATAGCAGCTTATACCGTCAGTAAGAAAAGAGTCGCACTTTTCTGATAATAGCTGTCAAATTATACACTGCTAACAAATTTTTCTGTTCAAAAATACAGTAGTCATACATTTTCTTGGTATTCATTATAGTAAATTTTATAGTATTTAATAAAAATCATAGTATTTAAAAAAAAAAAAAAACACTTTAAAGTTAGAAAAATATCCCAATATATTTCCTTATCATTTTCTAATTTTAGTTTTTAACTTTTACTGTTAAATAAATGAAAGCATATTAGAACACTTTTATAGTAACATTTTGCCCTATAATAATATGTAACTATAAAAGTGTCCACATATATTTTATTAATTGGTATGCCTAATTTTAATATATTTTCTTATTTATAATTGTAATAGCAATAATTTTGTATTTATCATCACTAGGACACAAAAATCTTAAATGCTAATTACTAAAAAAAATAATCCTTGAGCATATAATAACAGAAATATTACACTTGCTCATACATATTTAAAACTAAGGCGTTATAATTAAAACACACAAATATTTTAAATAATGGCATTAAAAAATATCTTATTAAATTGGAAGAATTTTTAAGCATTAATAACTTTTATTTTTGAAGTTCAGAATTTTCTTTTCTTTGACCCTGTAAATTTTTTTCTTCTTTTTTGTTTAAAGTTACGATACATTATCGATTTCAATGGCAAAATTAAAAGTTCTTAAATGTCTAAAAAAACAAAAACACGAAGCATAATGTTTTCATTCACAGCAGGATAAATTCGTCCAGTACATTTTATAATTCATTTGATGTCACTTTTATATTTTCTGAGATAAAAGATCGAAAATTGCATTTTCTTATTTTGTGTTTTATAACAGTTTTTGACAGTCGCTATCGCACAAGCTCATATTTGACCATGACCATTAAATTTTGGCAATCAGATGAGAAGAAAATCCCCTAAAATCAACAATAAAAAAAATGGGAAACAATGAATGAATTGAAATAAGCTAAAAAAAGATGCTAGTTACATGCAAAACTATTTATTTTTTAAGCGAGAAGTTGATGCTGTGTGTCACCGCGACGTCACCGACTGAAATCAGAGCTCTGAGTGGCACGAGTCTCTTCACAGGAGTGACCTAGTCCTTCCATTCTCTCTTTAGCCCTGGGTTTAAAGTTAATGTTGGTCCATTTATCTGGGACCACTTAAATTTGACTTGGACCAATATTAAATAGTTCTTCAATGTTATATAGTTCTAGTGACTAAATTTACTTAACATCTATTTCTGAATATAATAAGTATTTCAGAGAGTTGGATATTTGTGCTAATTTTGAATTCGGATTTATTAAGTTTCCTTTTTTATTTGGTCATCGCAAAATACTACACAATCTGCACTAATGTCATTTAATAAAACTAAATATTAAAAACAGAGCACATAATTTTTATAAAAATAAGCATAAGGGATAATTTTGACACAAAGAGTGAAACCCTGAAAATTTTATATACAAAAAATAGATATCAAGATAACAATTTATGTATCATATATGTTTTATATTTACATAACTAACATTTATAATTAAATTATCTACTAAGGAAGAATAACACACTTTCATAAACTAATTTGTGAAAAAACTTGCTTCTTACAAGAATCCCGATATCGAATTTTAAAATTGTGAAAAATATGAATGGAAATAATGGACTTCAAAAATAGCAAAAACAAAAACTGTATTAAAAATTTTCAAATCCTGTTGATAAAAATTATGCTGCATAATTTTCAGATTGCATGAATATGAATCAAAATGAGTAGTTTTGAAATCACGTACAAATACAAAAATCGATGTTTGATATTACAATTGCACAAATATAAAGCGCAATATTGGATTTTAAAAGCGAGTGAATACAAATCGCAACTTTAGGTTTTATAAATGAGTAAGTAGGAATCGTGATGTAAGATTTTTAAATTGAGTGAATATGAATCGCAACGGTTAACTGTTCAATCAGGTAAATAAAATCGTGTGAGTATGTATCAGGATATTAGCAGATTCCGGAGCAGCTATAAATATTCAAAATGACGAAAATCGGTCAAACCAAAAGAATCAAATTGGTTGAAGAATAACATGCACGGAAAAGTCTCGTTAACAGGACTTTGGGCAAAAATTTCAAAATTGTAAGTTTATAGTTTTATAAGCCTTATTATAAGGTTTGCTCCGCGGAATTCCGCAAACCTATGGTCTTGAGTTATGACCCTCAATTATGAATCACATGCCCTGCTTCTAGCTTTTAGACCCGGAAGAATGATATGAAAAACCCGGAATATAATCACCACTGAAACCTACCGTTTAGCTTCTTCAACATCCATTAAATCAACAACATTTGAGAAACGGACTTTGGCATGGGCTTCTGAAAGTCTGATCAAGGATTCTAGTTGTCTTGGATAAGCCGAGACTTGGCCACGACCAGCTCCAATTTTGCGCATTTCTACATAAGCTTGGATCAAAGCTTGAGATGCTTCTTCACTTAGCTTTGGATGAATGTTGGTACGAGCATAGGCTATGTAATCTTTCAGGAGACTAAGATCCTATAAAAATTAACCATGAATACATCATTAATTTTTAAATGCAACTACTAAGCAACAATTCCATGGAAACTTGGTAATTTTTTTTAATTTTCAATAAGATATACAATAAAACAACAACTCTTTTTACTTTAACCAAGGGGTATTTGCATAATAAAACAGGCTACATTCCAAAAAATAAAGAAATGTAAACATGGAGCAAACTGAATGAAATAACATTGTTTTTAATTTTATTAAAACTAATATATATATATACCAAATAAAACAATTGTAATAAAAAAATCATAATGTAGGAACACTAAGCTATATTTCTTAGCAAACAAATTTCATAGTTTTATTGTAATCTACTTTGGACACTTTTTCTTTTTCTGACTTTTTATATCAAATGTTTTTATACAATTCAAAATTATGAGCCCCGAAAATAAGAAACTTCTTTGCTTAACTAATTGAAACAAAAGACAGCAATGCCAAACTTTATTTTTCAATGTAGCTATCGTAACTTTTATTGTAATATAAAACCAATTTTTAAATTCTAGTACCTTGGTTTTGCCAGTTTTTTGATTTGACAATGATGTCAATTTTTGCAAAAAGGTTTTATTTTGTGAATATTTTTCCCATTTAAAAACATCTTCAGTTTTAAGAATAAATAAAAAACACTTGAACCAAAGTCAAAGTTCTTTAATTTTGCCTTTATCTGACTTAACGAACAAGGGGTCATCATTTCTTACAGATGAGTTTATACAGTGAAGTCGCGATAACTCGAATCTGATGGGACTGACGAAAAACTTCGACATATCGGAAGTTCGACTTACCGTTAGTTTCGGTTTGGACTTCCAAAATATTATCGGATTATTTAATTAATGCTTATCAATTACAAATCTTCCAAATGCTTACAATATTTAAGATCATTTTTCTGACAGGACATTTACGATAAGACTGTTTAAGCACTTTATGATACCCTGGTCTATCGGCTGCAACTTTGCTGTTGTGTTTGACGGGAGAAACTGCAAGTTTACTGCTTTCAAATTAGGTAGATAACTATGCGCTGTGCATTTATACATAAAGAGTATCACTTTTCTCTTTTTAGCGAAGAATTTCTGATCCAATTTTCTTACAAAGTCTTCAAATAAAACTGATGTCATCCAAAACTTTTTGTTAGACTTGTAATCCAAAGGACTGTTTTTGTTAGACTTGTAATTTACATTCTTGAAACATCGGGGATTTCGGTATTTTCCGATAACAAGTAAGGGCAATTTCTTTGTCCGAGACGCATTTCCTTCAACTAGGACAGTCAAATGTTTCTTGCTCATTTTACCCCCTGAGTAGTTTTTATCCTTAAACATCATAGTCTTATTTGAAAGACATTCAAAAAATAAACCCATTTCATCAATATTGAAAGCATCGTTTTAACTGTATCCTTGAAGTAAATTTGGTAACGTTTCATTTAACCACTGTTCACATACTTCAAGAGGGACAGCTTTAGCTTCTCCATGAAGAGTGCGAAAGACATTTTGTGTGTTTGTTGCAAAGGAAGGGGCAAGATATCAGCTCCTAGGTTTTTTTTTCTTGCTTCAAAAGATCCAAAAAAATCGAGTTAAAGGGAGTAAAATTCGAGTAATCGAGAATAATTAACATGAAATTGAAGATAAAAGGGTCGGGCCCTCATAAAAAAATCGAGTTATAGTAATATTCGAGTTATCGTACTTCGAGTTATAGCGAATTGACTGTACTATGAAAAATTTAGTACATCCATATAGAAAGAAACTTTCTTCAGTAATTTTACCATTGAGCAACAGAGGCAGCCACATACAAAATTTTCTTTGAAAGATTTTTCTGTCAGTAACTAATATTTTGTAAGGACAAAATAGATTTTTCGTTTTCGAAAAGCTTCACCAATTTTTTAAAAATGTTTTTGTACCAATATCTAAATTAAAATTCATTAATAAAAGCCCTTCATTATAAAAAATTTTATGCTTTTAAACCTAAAACCACTAAGTATGACAACTACCAAGTTTTTAAAATAAGGGCCTAATGGTATGATGAAGGGGGGGGGGGGGAAATCAAGCAATTTTTTAGTACTGTATACACACAACGAATTATTTTTAAAAACAGCAAATGGCAAAATAATAAAATACACCATTTATTCCAGTAGAGTACAGAAAGTTCAGTTTTAACAGTTTCAGTATAATTCTATTACTGGAGTACTGAAAAATTGATATCAGTTTGAGATGGATATGGATACAAAGATAATTTTTATAGCAAAGTTACATCAAAAATAAATACATAACGAATACAATTAGTTAATATTCCTTCGTGCTAGCATTTGATTAAAATTTGTAATCAACTTTAAGACTTTATAAATCAAATAATTTTAAAGTTGAGCAGTAGGTAATACTGACATTAAAATAAAACTCAAAATTTTTGTACAAAAGCAATTTGGTTCCTTAATTTATCATAAAAAGATTCTATGATTATAGTTGATTGGGAACAATCATTTGTTAAGTTAGATGAAAGAGACAAATTATTGTGAATCTGCAAAACTCCACACCATAGGATTTGTTAAAAAATTGTCAATGATTTTTTTTTTTTTTTTTTACAAAATGTCTGGAAAATTAAAAAAAATTGAACAATGTATAAGGCAGGTAAGGTTAGTGAACAGTCCCTAACACCTAACTCTGTAAATTTAATCAGTTCTAGCATTGTTAATTGTTGAAATAAAATGATGTATCAAAAATCCAAAGCTTATGATTCTTCAAGAAAATTATTTTAAAATCTGCATTTGTTTAGGTAGTGAACAGGGTAATTTAGACACACAAAAATCAAGAATAATCAGGACAAAAAGGAGTATTAGGACAACTAAGACCCCTGATGGCTTAAAAATTAAAAGTTTGGGGATTTTTAATAATTTTGTAGGAACTAGCAAAAATGAACAAGCTTTTCATGACTTAAACTTAGCAAAGTTAAGTTTATTCTTGAAGTCATTTAGTTTTATTGTTCAAATGGCACCTGAAATATATTTTAAGGAATATACTAAACTTAGCAATGTTATTGTTTATTCTTGAAGTCAGTTAGTTTTATTGTTAAAAAGGCACCTGAAACATATTTTAAGGAATATACTAATATATATATTTTGCTTCAACCATATTATATTGAGTACTTTTAAAGAATATAACACTCAGTTTTGTGAAACATTAATACTAATTGATTATGCAATTTTTTTTATTTAAGCAAGGATAAAGTTTTTTAATAAGATTTCAGTAAAAATCTATGTTTTGGAACACTGTTTTATAATCCACTCATTGATCAATGAAATCCCAGAAACAAAAATTTGGTTTTATATATATATATCTTACAAAGTCTTCAAATAAAACTGATGTCATCCAAAACTTTTTGTNATATATATATATGCATACCAGAAATTCTTCTTGATCTTCAAGAGGGCTTTTATAGTAAAGAGATACTAAATGGCGGGCAAGTCTTCTGTCATATACTTCATCTTGTGGGTCCAAAATCAAGAAGATTAAATCAAATCTAAACAAATAAAATTTCATAGTTTAATATTTGATTATTCTATAATTAATTATTTAAAAAAAAAAAAAAAACAAGATAAAAATACTATGAAAGTTAATGTGTTTTTAACTGACCACATCTTTTGTGTAAATTGCCTAACATTTCACTTGCAATTCTTACATTTGTTCTAGTCTTACACTATCAACATACCAAAATACAATGCATTGATCTATATTAACAGCCTATCTATTGATAATTAGTAATAAATACGAGTATTATAGACAAATTGTCATGTATGCGATGATTATCTGCAAACCATATCTTATTCTTTTTGCATTCATTCAACAAGCTGTGAATTTAGCTGAAGAAAAAAAAAAACAATTTTATTTTCAAAATAACTCACATAAATGTAAGGGGTTTCTAATCAAATAACTAAATTTTCAATTCTTATCTTCATAAATCGAGAACAGAAATTCTATTCTGATAATGATAAAACTACAGTGAAACTTCTCAGGAGCGACCACTCTCTGTTCCCCAGTAAAATGGTCGTTCTTAGCGGTTACCTCCATTGATTTCAAAATGTTATCGAGAGTACATGATTATTCGCAAAATATTTTAATTTTAGTAAGCGTCATTTCCATAGAATGGAAATGCCACTTGTGTTGGCGTCATAAAAATCGGATCAATCAATAAACTTTAGCGCCAAGTGAAAAAATGATTCCTACTGATATAATTGAGTAAAAACAAAAAAATAATTATGATTTTTGTTTAAGTGTGCATTTAATTTTATATCATAAAAATCAGCTTGCTCTAAAAAAATGAGAAGAGGTTTGTTTGAGATGCTCAGTTTTTTCTTTGAAAAAAAAAAAGTTTTTTTCTTCTAATTTAACTTTCAATTCTAAATATAAATCCCTGATAACATTGTCTTTAGTGCACCCTGACTGCAACATGAGGTTTTAGAACTCTTTCAGAGATCAATAAAAAAAAAAAAACAAAAACAAAAACAATCTAAATAAGAACATCACACAAATATTTTGAATACATTTTAATCTACTTATTTGCTTTGATATTTCTTCGTGTTTCCTTATTTGACCTTTTCAGACAGAGGTTTTGATGGTCTCCTCTAAAGGTTTTCTTCAACATAAAGGAAAAAATTCTGTGCCTTCCAAAAGTGGTCGTAAATAGAAGTCGCTACATAGAGGTGGACTTTCATGGAGGTTTCATTGCATTTTCATAGAAAAAAATCTTTTCTTATTTCCATGATATTAAGCAGTGAAGGACAATAAAAATGTTTAGATAGGGAACCTATTATTGAATTATTATAAAATAATTTGGTTCCACAAAATTTTATTCCCATCTCTACAATATTATGAGCTAGAAGAGGATTTTTACAAATTTTATTATAATGGTATAGTGTGTATTCACAAGATTTGTGCAAATTGTAACTCACTTTACAATAATTTTATTGGATATACCAAAATTTAAGCACATTTTTATTTTGCGCAACAACACACATTTGGATCTCTAGGTTTATGTCAGTGATTGTAGAATAAGAGTTGATATACATAGCTGCCAACCTTAGGAATAAAAAATTAGGAACACTACATGCGACAAAATTATGCGCACCAATCACGAGAGCAAGACAAAAATTTAACTATTAAATAATAACATTAATAGAAATGATTAAATTAGTAAAACTTATGTAAATTAGTAAAACAAAACTATAAACTCCATCTTTTGTGGGAAATTTATAATATTATTTAATAATAAGAAATACCGGTATAATAGTTTAAAAACAACCATTACCTATTAATATATAATTATTCTTCTCCAAATTATAAAACACAGGTAAATAATAATCTACATCATAAGCAAATATTTCTGATGCAAGTGTTGACTACAATACATTTTTCACTACAATACATACACTACACTACAATACATTTTTCAAAATGTAATAATAGTTGTTTAAGATTCAATTTAGTGAAATGATCAGCAACAGCTATTGGAATAGTATTTTCCAATAAAAAGTTACTAAAAATTACTTCTGCGAAATAATCACAGGAAGCGCGCTTGAGGCGATCAGAATAAGGGATTGGTTTAAAAGCAAAAATACTGCAATTTCACGAAAATTCAGATTTTTTTTAAATAAAAATATCAAATTTGATTTAAAAATTAGGAACAAATCCAAATAATTCTGAACAGTTGGCAGCTATGGATATATTGTGATTAAAAAAAAAATGGAGGGTTTCACAACAAAGTTAACAAAATAGAAAAAAAAATTAAAACTTTGAAAAGTGCAAGCAGGAGAAGGTTAAAGCGAGTTAAAATTTTCAGTCATAAAATCTCAAAAATTATAACTACGAAAAAACATATGCAGAAAAAAATACAGATTATGAGAGAATATCTCCACCAAAGAAAAAAAAAAGCATTTTGGTGATAAATACTGAAAAATGTAATGAAAAATATTGTTGTTAGGCTGGGAATGAAATAAAGTTGGTTAGGTTTTCTTATACTAGTCGTGCCTTGTTTGGCACAAGTTTTGTTTAACCTTTCCACGATGAGAATTGCAAAGGTGCGCTTATAGCTGAGGACAGGAGTCTTTTTTGCAAGGTCTTGTCCAGATTTTTTTTTTGCCGTTAAGCCTAAATCCATGAAATTACTGAAATAAGGACACATTCCTTAATAATGAAGTAAACAACATACACTGTATACATCTTTTATTTACAATTTATTTTATTTTGTATACAAGTTTTTTCTTGTCTAAATACATTTTTACTTCAATTTTTTCAGTATTTATTAATTATTTAATGACTTTAACATTATACAGAAAACTAAATAAGTTTTTGACACCTAAGTATATCACATAAAATTTTATTTTATTATGAAATATATTGAATTATCCTACTAAATTAAGAGTATTTAGCCCAGGCACTACTTTAAGAAAAAAAGAAAATAAAGAAGTGGTTCCATTATGCTAACTCTTTTTCCCCTAAAAAGTATTTTGGATTTCACTTTTTGAATTACTAGTTTTCACTTGCTTTGACATCGAGAAGTTTATTTTTTTAAAACATTTATTTCTAGTTAAAGTAACTAGACGATTCAACTAGACAAAGTCAGACGATTATTTTAAAACTGCATGTTCATCAAAATTAAGAAAAAAAGAAAACAGGAATATTAGGACAAACATGGACATATATTTTATCATGACATTTATTTTTTAAGTGGAAAACCAAGGATATTAGGACAACTAATAACTCTGGTAGCATCTTCGTAACATTATTTGAATATTTATAAAAAAATATATTCACATGAAAAAAAAGAGGAGCGAATGGAATATTTTGAGTACAATAGAGCCCCCGATTATCCATGTCCTTCTCAGAGTGATTAAAAAGAATATTCTACATGATGATCACTGATTTTTTTACAAAGTGTAACTGAACACTTTCATGTTAGCACACTTTCACGAAGTATGTAGGTGCTAATATTTTCCTTACCATTCCTCATTTCAGGGTTTTAGATGTACAGGGGTGATTGTGAGCCCAAGTTAAAATTGCGGAAAATTTCTTGAGTTAAAAAAAAAAAGTTTAAATTGAAAAAAATTTAAACAAGGTTTTTTTCCTTTTTCTCAATATTTCTTAGTTTACTTAAACTATATTTAAAGTTTTACACATACCTATACCATTTTAACATACCTAGGATGACCTGGAGAAATAATTAAAATTTACAAATATTTCTTTTTCTTCAGTTTATGATTATAACAACTATTTACTGATAAAAAATTAATATTAATCATGAATATAAGTTTTAAAGTATCTCTCTGGCTCTCCCTTACAAACAAATAAAATTTGTTTCCAAGTTCCACCTTTGAAAATTTGATTTCCGGAAACTTCTGTGATAAATGATTTTTTGAAACGTCAGGGCCTTCGATTTCCGGAAACTTCCGGATCACTGTTAGCGAAAATTCCGGAAATCCAGATTTTTCCGGAGCACTATCAGCCCTGGATGTAGAGCAAAGCTTTCTATTGTATATTACATTTAAGATTCTTTTTTTGTTGCCACAAGACAAAATGAACAAATTAGTTGCTTTTACTAGCCTAAAGCATGAGAATAGTTGCCAAAAACTATGAAAATAGTTGCCTAAATAAGAACAAAAATTCATTAAAAATATAACTAAAATTTTATTAAATGACTATCAATTTGGTGGCAAATATGATAATTTTAATATAAACATTAGTGTTCTTGCCCTAAATTTTTATATCAAAAAAATTAGTATATTTGCAGAAAATTAAATACTTTTAATTACTAGAACTCATTCATTCATTCAAAAAANAAAAAAAAAAAAAAAAAAAAAAAAAAAAAAAAAAAAAAAAAAAAAAAAACTTTTTCCCTTTATCAATAACTGATTTAAGAAATTATATATATATATATATTACACTCACATACATATTGTGAAAAGTGATTACTCAAATTCAAAATTCAAGCATCGTAATATTGCATTAAAAATCGTTTTTTTTAAAAAAAAAAAAATCATTCGGAAATTCACAGCAATAACCATTGAAAAGGCAATCGAGAAACGAAATAGACTTACTTACAATGGAATCTGTGCAAATTGAATGAATTATAAAGTGGTGACTTAAATTTGCAATTCAAAATTTATTTTTTAAGAAAAAAAAGTTCAGTGTGTTCAGAAGCTCCCACAGATTTTCAAACCAATTTATGCGAAAAAAACATTGCTAGGAGTACAGAAAAGTTTCAAAATAGTCTCCTTTATAAGAAAATAGTTGCTTTTTTTTTTTTTAGCTGTTCCAGGCACAATAAGTTGCCATAGTCGCCTCATGCTGAAAATAGTTGCATTTTAGTCGCCTGTGGCAACTGTTATTACTTTTTGAGTAATCTGCAACTTTTGCTATCCACGGTATCGGTGCAAACTGCTTTCTGGGATAATCGGGATTGTACTACATTAGTATTATAATTTGAGGAAAAAAGAAGGTACCAAACCTTGAAAGTAAAGTATGAGGTAACTGAATGTTTTCAATGATTGTTTTGTTTTTATTCCATTGAGACTCAACAGGATTGGCTGCAGCTAAAATTGAAGTTCTTGCATTTAACTGACAGATAATACCAGCTTTGGCAATAGACAAAGTTTGTTGTTCCTAGAAAACAAAAAGAAAATTACATAATATCTACAAATGTTACACTAAATAAACTATTATTTCTAAATTCAAATTAAATGTAGACACCAACTAGAATTTTCAATAATAACCAGAAAAACTTTAATCGATTTTGCAGTAATAAGTATTTTGGATAACATAAGACATTCTTACAAAATACTGTATATTTATTGACATGATTAAAGAACAAAATAATCTCAAAATTTCATTACTCTTTTAATTAATAAAATAAACTAATTAAAAAAAAACATTAATTTAATTGTATTTATATTATTTAATCTCGATAATGGCAAAGAGTTTAGAGTATATAATAAAAATGACACTTCTTACTAATTAATGGATTGGAAAAAAAAATAATATTGTCATAATTCTGATTACAATCATCACATTATTCTGATATTGTCTTAATAATCCTAAATAAAAACTTTTGTATTCAGAAAAATAGAATAATTTTCAGATAAATGAAATTACTTTCTAGTTACCATTTTTCAAATTGGGTGAGTACATGTACTACAGAAATAGTTCAATTTTGGAACTTTTGAAAACATATAAGAAAACAAGAAATATCACCTTAAAAAGATTTCTTTTGTTGCTTTTTACAGGATTAGTCATGCATAAAAAATTTATTCTATTTTCATGATTTTATTTTATGGCAAGAAAAACTGGAATTACACCATACTATAACATCACGTAAAATAGATCGAGTACTGCCACTCATCTTATCGAATTCATCAATACAGAAATATAATACATCAAAACAATAAATAATCATGGAACATACGCTCTTTGTACATGAATAAAGGACTACAAATGCTGATTGATCAAGTTGAAAACTATCAAATCGATATAATGGCCATCCAAGAAGTCAGATGGACTGGAGATGGAATAATTGAAAAGAAAAATCACACATTTATCTATAGTTGTGATAAGAAGAAACACATATTTGGAACAGGCTTTATCCTGAGTAAAAGGATAAGGCCATTATTAATAGATTATGTCACCAAATCATCCAGACTATGTAAAATTAGGATTAAGGGAACTTTTTTCAACTACAGTTTCATTACCTTTCATGCTCCAACTGAAGACAAGGACAGTGTGGAAAAGGAGCTCTTTTATGAAGAACTGCATGCTTTATATGCATCCTGCCCAAAAAATGATGTCAAAGTGTTACTAGGGGATGCAAATGCAAAAATTGGCAAGGAAAAGGAATTTAGATCAATAATTGGCAAATTTAGTCTCCATGACACTACAAGCGACAATGGAAAGCGACTTATTGACTTTGCTGCAGATCATAATATGATCATACCAAGCACAATGTTCCAGCATAAGAGGATACATAAAATGACCTGGCGATCTCCTGATGGGATCACATACAATCAAATCGATCATTTTTTGATTGATTCCAGGCATAAATCGGATATTGAAGACGTAAGAACCTACCGAGGTGCCAACTTAGATTCAGACCGCTTCTTAATAATAGCAAAACTACGAGCTAGAATCTCCAACATTCGAAAGATTCGAGGAAAATGTTTGGAAAAGTTTGACCGTAAACAACTAAAAGATGAGGCAATTAAGCTCAAATTCCGGAATCAAATTGACAGTAACCTTGAAGAATCTAAGGATAACCATGGGGAGGAAGATGCATAAACGATAAATGGAACTCTTTGAAGGAAACAATCGTTAAGACTGGTAACGAGGTTATTGGAAAAGCTACGAAAACTAAAAGGAAATATTGGTTTGATTGTGAATGCTACACGATAACAGAAAAAAAGAATGAAGCATATAAAAAGATGCTGAATAAGAGAAATTCTAGAAATGCTGAGATCAAATACAAAGAGGGAAGAAGGGAGGAGAAGAAAATTCATAAAACAAAGAAGAAGGCATTTCTCGAGGATCTTTTAAAAAATGTTGAACATTTAAGGGGATCTAATGAAAGCAGAGCTTTCTTTCGGGAAATAAACCTAGGACGAAAGGAATTTAAACCCAGAACTACCTCATGTCGTGACAAGAATGGAGCAATCTTGACTAGCAAAATGCAAGTATTGGAGAGATGGAATGAGCATTTTTATGAACTACTGAATGGAGTTAGTGATGAACATGAACCACCTACAGAAGACATTGAAATTTATAACCAACATATTGTGGAACCGCCAACATTAGAAGAAGTCGATGACGGAATAAAAAAGTTAAAGGACAATAAAGCACCAGGCCCCGACGAAATCCCATCAGAATTTCTAAAAAATGGGGGAACAAGTGTCACGAAGAAAATATATGATCTGGTACGAGCTATATGGGAGCAAGAATTAATCCCTGAAGAGTGGAAAACCAGCATGACCTGTGTGATACATAAGAAAGGAGATATACTGGATTGCTCAAACTACAGAGGAATTAGCTTGCTCTGTACAAGTTATAAAGTATTTTCTAACATCCTTTTCAAAAGACTCTCCCCACTTGTCGACAATATAATTGGAGATTATCAGTCCGGATTCAGGAAGGGGCGATCCACCTCAGAGCAAATTTTCAACATCCGGCAAATTTTGGAGAAGACAATAGAATTTGGTATTGACACGCACCATCTATTTATTGATTTTAAAACAGCTTACGATAGTGTTAGCCGAAAAACTCTATTATCAGCCCTAAGAGAATTTAATATACCGGAGAAACTAGTGAAGTTGATTAGCTTGACACTAAGTGAAACCAAAATCATGGTCAAGATACAGAATAGTCTTTCCCATCCAATAGAAATTAGAAATGGTGTACGACAGGGAGATGCCTTGGCATGTCTTCTCTTTAATCTAGCATTAGAAAAAATAGTAAGGGACTCAAACATCAACACCCGAGGAAATATCTTCAACAAATCAGTTCAAATATTGGCTTTTGCTGATGATTTAGATATTATCGCTAGAACGCAGACAGCACTAACACAATCCTTTTTATGTCTGGAGAAGGAAGCCATTAAGATGGGATTAAGAATCAATGAAATTAAAACTAAATATATGCCCTGCACAAAAGCTGGCTATAAAGAAACACAGTTTGAAATTGGAGCATACAAATTCGAAGCCGTTGATAGCTTCACCTATTTGGGGTCTAAGATTAACAACAAAAATGACACTACACAAGAAATACACACGAGAATCACGATGGCCAATAAGTATTTTTATGGCCTAAGAAAATATCTTAAGTCAAGCCTAATAAAAAGAAAAACAAAAGTGTTACTCTATAAATGTCTTATACGATCAGTGCTTACATACGCATGTGAGACCTGGACAATGACCCGTGGAGATGAAAATATGATAGCTAGTTTTGAGAGAAAAATACTGCGAAGCATTTTTGGTGGAATAAGTAAAAACGGTACCTGGTTTAGAAGATCAAATACGGAACTCTACAAAGCATATAAAGAACCTGATGTCATTAAATTTATCAAAATTCAAAGGATTAAATGGGCAGGCCACATTATAAGAATGGAGGATAGCAGGACAACCAAAAAAGTTTTCTGTGCCAGGCCAACAGGTACAAGAAAAAGAGGACGACCAAACCTAAGATTTTTAGACTGCCTTGAAAAGGACCTACAAGTTTTAAAGATAATAAACTGGAGAACCTTGGCTAAGGGAAGAATGTCTTGGCATAGGCTTGTTGAGAAGGCCAAGGCCCATCCTGGGCTGTCGTGCCAATGAGAAGAAGAAAACAATAAATATCTTAAAAAGGTTTTTTTGTTGTTGCTTTTTTCAGTGTTAGTCATGCATCCAAAATTTATTCTATTTTTATGAATTTACTCTATGGCAAGAAAAACTGGAATTACACCTTACTATAACATCATGTAAAATAGATCGAGTATTGTCACTCATCTTATTGAATTCATCAATACAGAAATATCATACAGAAATATAATACATCAAAAGAAAAAATATAATCTTAAAAAGTTTTTTTTGTTGCTTTTTTCAGAGTTAGTCATGCATAAAAAATTTATTCTATTTTTATGAATTTTCTTTATGGCAAGAAAAACTGGAATTACATCATACCATAACTTCATGTAAAATAGATCGCGTACTGTCACTCATCTTATCGAATTCATCAATACAGCATATTCCATTATCACTCAAGACTAAAGCACCACTATAAGAAAAGATTGAAAAAAATTATGCATCTCCCTAAATATGTAATATTCTAATAAAATTTCATTCATCATGTACGAAGTTTTTGTTCTTACGTTTGCAGAACAAGTTGCCTTGTTTCTGGATCACGCGTGACATAAGCAGTAAGACCAACAGCACTGGATCCTTTACCGGAAGTGTACTGTCCTCTAGGTACAAGGTTGTAAACATATTGCAATAATTGTGATTTGCTGGTACCAGGATCTCCACAGAGTAGTATATTTATTTCAGACCTAAACAGCACCATATCATAAGAAACAAGACAAGATGAAGCTAACATGAATTAATATATCTAGTATACATTAATTTATCTATATTAATATATATATTAATTATTATAACTAATTTATCTAGTATACATTTAGAGTAAGTTACCTGAATTTGCCCTTATCCTTGTTAGTGTAATCTTTCTTGGTTCCACCAAACAATTGCAACAAAATTCCTTTTTTAATATCTTCATTCTCATAAATGCTTGGAGCTGTAAATATATATATATATATAAACTTAGAGCCAACATTTCAGGAAAAAATAAGCCTAGAAACAGTAGTATTACCAATGTATTATTTATAGTTAAGATGCAGAGGATATTTTGTAACTGAAAAGCAAGTTATGTAGACTATTGCATATTTTACTAGCATAAAATTTTCCATTTGCAACAGTATAATATATAATATTTTTTCTTAAACTCAATGTAGTATAAGTTTGAAAACAGGAGTGCACAGTAGCAGGGAGATTGTGACAACTCAAAAATCCTGAAAATTTCTACAATAAAATCATTAATTACGTATTTCAAAAAATTAAATTATATGCAGCATAATTTAAATGATAATTATGCATAAATTTACTTTTTATCTCGAATCACATTTATTATTCTACCAGAAAAAATATTTACAAATGAAAGAGATGCCAAGCATAAATTCTAGTTCTAATATTTCTAAATAAAACGTAATTTTTTTTTAAATACATAAATGTGATGAATAATTTCTTGAAACTTCTGGATCTTGGATTTCCGGAAACTTCCGGATCGCATTTACCGAAAAATCCGTGTTTTTTCCGGAGGACAATCATCTCTGCAGTAGTGATACCAATGTACGGTTAGTAGTAAAGGTGCACAGAGTATGTTACTTGCTTTCAAGAAAGGGGTTACTCTTAAAAGAATTATTTTTAGTATATCAAATATTTGATAGCAATATTAACACACATAATGCTTTGTCTGTCACAAATATATATGTATTTTGTAAAATATATCGCATTTTAAAATGTGTTATCAGTTTCTAAATTCTGGAAAATCCTCTTAAGGGAAGGAATGTAGAACTATAAATATTTTGAATAACAGATGCAACAAAAATAATAAATAAATAAAATAATATTTCCATAACAGGATTTTCATTCTCTTTTAACTAAGTATGTAGCATTAAGTGCATGATTCTTATAATACTGAGCTGGAAAAAAAAGTGGTAACTTTTAATTGATTTATAAAACAGAAAAAGAAACAAACAAACAAAAAAAAAACACAAACCTAGAGCTCTTGCAAGACGCTCGTAAATGTCGGGTAATCTAGATAATTCCTTGAGCTTTTCAATTCTTTCCGGAGAGAAACGAATATCAACTCTGAAAATAAAGAGTAAATTTAGATTTCTTTCCAAAAACAAAATATTAATTTAAGATAAAACATTTACCTTCGATTTAGTATAGTGTGATAATATTTCAAATTGTGGAAAAAAGTTTAGTTTCTTCAATAATTACACTAAAATGTAGATGATGCTTAGCAAAGTGAATCAAGGAGAAAAAATGAACTACTCTTCTTGACAAGTTTAACACAAATAAAAGTGTTAAGATTTTTTGTTTGCTAGAACTGAAGAATATCGTCAATAATGACAATTTCTATATACAGTAGAGAACCGATTATCTGGAACGATCGGGACTATCGGTATTCCGGATAACTGATTTTTCCAGTTTTCTGAATCGCTACAAAAAGCCGTTTTTTCAGTGTTAAACCCAACTAAAAAAAAAAAAAAAATTTGGAAATAATCTTAAAAATAAGAAAAAACTATGAGGTAATACACTAATGATTATTTCTGAAATGATGGTAAGGTAAACATCTTTCAAAAAAGAAAGAAAAATCTTATGAGGAAAAAATTAAAAAAAAAAAGATTGCAGGAAAATTTATCGAATTTCGTTCCGGTTTTCTGATTTCCAGATAACGGGTTCTGTACTGTATATTTCTCTTACACAGCACAGGGGAGATTGTGAGCCCAACTCAAAAATCCCGAAAATTTCTTGAGTAAAATAATTAATGACGCATTTCAAGAAATTAATGTCTTCATAAATTTAAATCATTGGTATTCTCAAAATATGAAATTCTAAAAAAATTATATGCAGCATAATTTAAATGAATAATTATGTATAAGTTTACTTTTATCTCTAATCACATTTATTATTCTACCAGAAAAAATATTTACAAATGAAAGAGATGCAAAGTATAAATTCCAGTTCTAATATTTTTAAATAAAATATACAAGAATTTTTATACATAAATGTGATGGATGATTTCTTGAAACTTCTGGATCGTGGGTAGCAAAAAATCCGGATTTTTTCCGAAGCACAATCATCTCTGACAGCAACAGAGACCTCATTTCTAAGCTTACCCACAGCTTATGATATACAAATAAAACTTATAAATCTTCTTCGTTTTTCTCTTTTTTATCCTTTTTGTCTCTATTGACTATGTATATATGAACAAAAAAATTTGCGCACCAAGAAGGAGTCGTCAAAAGGAAACGAAATTTTACATACGTAATGACTACTTTGATATAAGTAAATTATTAAAAAATCTAAGATTATCGTTTTTCTTTGATTTTCTAATCATTTACTTATATCAAAGTAGTCACTACGTATGTAAAATTTTGTTTCATTTTGATGACTCCTTCTAGGTGAGCTAATTTTTTTGTCCATGAGTGTATATAAACTGAGCTATAAGTTGGGAAGAACTAAAATGTCTAAAGTTAATAGTTCATATTTGTTCAAGTATATAGTTCATATATCTATAAAATGGGTTATATTATGTGTTAATTACACTTATGCAGATTCAATAATTATAATTATACTCATTGAAAAATGAGTATTAGACATGCTATTACGCTTTTAAAGTACAGTAAAAAAAAAGCACACTCGGAGAACAGAGGGAAGCATTGCTGACGGTTATGAAAGATTTAACATTGAAAGAATGTGCAGGAGACGTGCCCGCCATATATATATTTCTTAAATTAAAAACATAATTATTGATTTGTTTCAGCAAGTTTTTTATTGCATGCAATTTTCTTCGATTTAAAATTTTTAATTTTAAGTACTGATTAATTAAAAATTTCAATAATTGATTTAAATTCTTAAAATTTTGAACTAGAACACAAATGAAATGTGTTTGGCCTAGTAGCGAGCGAAACGGCCATGGTTTGGAAAGCAAATCGAATAAGACTGCACAGTAATATTTGGGGGATGGTAAGAGTCAACGAAAAAGGGACTAGCTTTTTTAAAATTCATCTAAATGTTTAAAATAATCAGAGTAAAACACATACTGTAATATAATGTAACACATACATAATGCTAGAAATATTTACACTTAACAGAAAGCTCATCCTCCCAAAACTCATCAAACTTTCTGGTTACAGTTTTTGAAAGAATATTGAAATTAATACAATTTGAATAAGAAAAAGCTTTTTTGTTAGAGAATGAGGGATGGAAATACAAAATAAAGATATTACACTCTTCCACCTTTAATAATATTTAGGAGAAACTTCAAATTATATCAGGAACATTTTTAATTTTGTACATATGCATTTATTTTAGGCAAAACATTTAAATGATCACTAATATTTATGTTCTTTAGAACATGTAAATATCAGTTGTTTCCCTCCTCTCTGATGTGATACAAATCTCAGATAATTACAGAAGCATTATGAATCTTACAAGTATCATACAAATTTAAAATGAATAAGTATCTTATATTTGATATCATTACAAATGTGCTACTTGTAATACAAATTTTAAATATGAACATAAGTAATACAACTATTAATTATGATGCACCTTCTTTAGGGGATTTATTGGCTCGCTACAAGTTTTAGTAAAAAAGTGTGAAAATAAAATATTATGAGGACAATGCACTGACTACGAGGAGAATGCCAAGTTCCATATGCTGGAGGCCAATCTTAACTTTGTGTTAATTACTACTTCAGACACTTATGGCGACGTTAACATTAATTTAATGATGAATATGATACAGTGCATAATTAGACAACAAAAGCAGCATGAACACAAGTTAGCAGAAAAGCAATTAGCAATAAGTAAGGGCGCCACTCTAAAATATTTCAAGAACGAACTTTTTTTTTTTTTTGACCAATTAACACAGCCTAGCGCTATTTAACAGAAATTTTCAGAAAATTAATGCTCACTTTCTATGAGAATGGTTCATATATTACATCAATAACTTGATCATTGATATAATATATGAATCATTCATGTTTCTTGTTATTTTATGCAGGAATGAGATTAGCCAAAAGGCAAAAAAGCTGAATTTCTACACTAGTAAATTTTACGCAAGCGCAACCCTTTAATAATAAATTCCAGACAGTTTAAGATAATAAATAATGTGTTGACATACAATTGTGTACTAATCTATTATTATATAAATGATTACATTGATACTTAACATTTAGTGAAAATAAAAATTACCAATTGAAAAAATAAAGCTGGAAATTATATTTTTCCTCAGTTCACATAAGAGACTTATTACTTGAAAAACTACCTGGTTTAGCAAATTAAAACTGCTGAGTATATACATAAATATTTCATTTCTTTTAATAAATACTGTTATGTGATTTATAGCAAATGTATCAGTAATATTACTTTTTAAATTATTTTGGGGGAAAAAAACTACAATGGGCAGAATCATTATGTTCATATTATAGTCTAATCTAACTAGAGCCCCGTGAAACATATCAGTAACAGTGAAGTAGAAATATATAATAACTCCTTAACATACAAAATTGCTATTTGAGTTTGAAAAATTAAATGACAATCAGCAACTGTTTAGATAATTATTTTTCATTTGATAAGAATTTTTCATTTTATAGCATAAATAACAGCAATTATAATTTAAAATTTTGATGATGAGTTAATTAACTCCTTTTCCAAAAAAAAAAAAAAAATAAAAAAATTAATCACTTTTTAAGAGATTGCTTTTGTTTGCTATATCTTTTATGTTTGCTACATTTTGTCGTTAGTCCATCTTCAAACATTTTGTGACAAATCTTACTTTTTCTTCCTTGAAAGCACAGAATGTTAGTTTTGAATACATTCCCTTCCAGTTTCTCAGATGTTGATACTAATAATCGTCGTTAGAAAAACAGTCACCTTTATAGTAACTAATTTCAAAATTTTTTTTTACTTCTTACAAGAATCGCGATAGTTTATCTTAAAATTGCGTGAAGATGAATAACAATTATGGATTTTGAAATCACATGAATAAAACTAGATATACGATTTTGAAAATGAGAAAATACAAACTGGGATATAGAATTTTATAAACGTGTAAATACAAATCACGATTCATAATTTTTAGATCGCGTAAATACGAATCATAATGCGTAATTTTTATATTGCATAAACAAGAATTATGATGCATAATTTTTAGAATGCGAATTTTAAATCACAGATAAATATGAAAATTAATGTTTGATATTATAACCGCATGAGCAAATCAAGACATAGAATGTTAAACTCGCGTGAATACGAATCGCTACGTTGGTCTTAGAAAGGCGTAAATACAAATCACAATATCGGATTTTTAAACCTCGTATATAAGAATCGCAACGTACAATATTCAAATCGAGTGAATAAGAATCGCAACATGCAACTTTTATATCACGCAAATCTGAAAAGCTATGTTTGATATTAAAATCGTGCCGGGCGATGGTCGAGTAATTAGCGTGCCTGACTGCAAGCCATTGGCTGCTGGTTCGAATCCGCCGCATTGCATGGATGTTTCACTCTGTGTTTTGTTCTCTATTGTGTGAATGTGGCCCGCCCTGTAAAACAGGTATGTGGCAGTGTGGCGTGGGTAATGTCGCTCGCCTCCGTGACTTAGGTTCACAGGTGCCCACTGGATAACGTTAAATGAGTAACATTTCTGGCATCTTCCTCGGTGAAAAAACGTTAAAGTTCAGTGCCTGCCGTTAGGAAAATAATAAATAAATATTAAAATCGTGTGAATAAGAATCAGGATATTAGCAGATTCCAGGCTTGGGACATCTAAAAGGCTTGTCAGAAGCAGATTCGTTTGAACTACGAAAATAGGAGCTATCTGGCGGGCGGGTAAAAATGCGGAAAATCTCATTTGCTGCATGTAAAAGGGGAGAAAATAGCTAAAATAAGTCAAAATGAGGAAGGATTGGTAACTATGTAGTTTGAATTTTCTGTTTCTCTTTGAAAATTGGTGAATTTTTTGAAAAAGCGGAATATTTATTAAAAAATGTGAAATTTTTAGAAAATCTGAATTTTTGATAAAAAGCTGAAATTCAAGAGATAAAAGTGAAAAAGGCGGAAATCCGCTAAAAAGCGGAAAAATCTCACCCTTGTTTATGAGAGTTTTCATTTCTCATGTCAGTCGAAATAATAATAAAAACAATAGCTTTAGTAGTGTTTTAGCTTATCATGCGGTATAAGTAAAAAAACTTTTATTTTTAATATTCCTTGGCTTCAACACAAATCAAAAATCTATGAGCAAAATTTTTCGCAGAATTTACTGAAAAGCAATTCAGTTCTTATAAGTAGCAAGTGATCTTCCTTTTGCTTTGTAAAGTTTGTCAAGATCTCTGTTAATATTTTTCTTTTGTTTCAAAGATAATTTTTTTCCATTTTAATGAACTCAACCAAAACTTTTTTACTCCAATGTAATATACAAAACCAAGAACATGCATGGTTAGGAACTAAAAGCTTCAAAAGAACCTTACTCACCCATCTTCAATATCTTCATGCAAACGTTTGGTGTCCACTTTGCGAAAATGAATAACATCAACATGCGTCCTGTAAACAGCTTTTATATTCCTTTGTTTAGGATTTACTCTGGTTGACATAGCACGGTATATACCAGTTACTGTTATTCTGTAGACAAATTGTGCAAATAGAATTAACATGAAATTAAGTAAACTCAATAACTTTAAAATAAAATTTCAAATGTAAAAAAACAAAAAAAGTAATGGCCAAAGCAAATCGATTTTCAAGTTTATTTCTTGTTTTATTTAAGTCAAATTTGGAGAAAAAAAATTCCCTGTACGTATTATACACAATGTATTAAGAGGAAAGAATTACTCTGCGCTTGTATGAGCTATATTGGGCTAACTATACTAGTTTTAATTGCTGGAAAAACTTAAGATTAAAAAAGGAACAGCTGTGTTACATGTTATACAAATATTAAATGATACAATACAATAATACAATAAATAATACAGTAATACCATAAATAATACAATAATTATACTGAACATACTTAAATAATGCTAATAGCAGTAAATGAAATAATTTAGTAAAGCTGAAATATTTTCCTTAAATACGAAATTCCCTGTATTTTCCCAGTTCTTAAAGAAAAAATCAAAACAGTTCGTAAAGAAAAAATCAACTGCATTTTACATGTTAATTCCGCAATTTTAAAATTCCTTGTGTTATCCAGGCTTTCCCGGTGGAGTGGCAACCCTGTTCATTTAAAACCTTTCACAACAAATATACAACAACGTTCGCTTTCAGTTTCAAGAATTGTCACTTTCACTATATAATAAATATTCAATTAATATTTATTATATAGTGAAAGTGACAATTCTTGACTTATCTAAACTTTTATATTGGATTTAAGGGATATTTATTAGTGTTTTAAACTTAATAGATCTATAATCATATCATATCAGTCGCAATGTGATACATGTAATCATAGTCTTTTCCTTCATCATATTGGCAATCCATATGTTTTTGGAATAAAATCTGAAAAGTTATAACAGTATTAACATGAAAATAAACTAGTTATGCATACTATAATTTATATTTATTACTTTAGTATTATCCTATGCAAGCATTAAATTTTTGGTTTTTATTCAAACATTCATTGCTAGTAAACATGTAACATACGACGAGTAAACATGTGATATTAACGAGTAAACATGTGATATTAACACGTAAATGCTAGACATTTAAGATAAATATTTTATGACAATTTTACAATTCACATTAATTGTCAAAAAACTGGTTTAGAAATTAGTTATATTTACATTAAATAAATTATGCAATAACTATTTGATACTGCATGGGGACCACTTTTTGCCGATGAATAAAACCATTGACCAAAATATATTACATTTCTTTTTATAGTAATCAAACATAAAATTAAATAGATAGCTTTGTGCTCAGTATAATTATTAGGGTAAATTTATCTGGTAAATGAAATTATTAAACCCTAAATAAATTAACAACACTGAATCGGTTTTAAATCTTACTTTTAAAAAAGGGTGGTAAGCAAAGTAGTTTAGGTTAACACATTATTCTAATAAAATAAAATAATAACTTCACATACAGGAGAAAATAAGTGAAAAGAGTCGGTGATCAATGTTTACAGGTCTGTTTTTTTTTTTTTTTTTAAAATAGGTAACATTATTTTTCAATTTATGCAAGCTATTTCTACCTAGAATTTGAACACTCCCAGCTTACTTTTGCTTCCAACAAAGGGCAGCGAAAATTAGACAAAATAGAAAAACAAAACACACATTAGACTTCAAAGGCTTAACCCTAAAGCAGTCAGCACTCAAAACCGAGGTATATGTTACAGTACAATTTATATTCAGGTCACAGTGAAAATTCTATATGCTGTTAATAATTTTTGTTTCACTATATAGGTATAATTTGATTTTTAACTGATAAGGGTTAGATTTTATTTTTCACAAATTCAGTTAGCTTAAACAAAATTATTCCACATTAAAAAAAAGGCAATAATTTAACCATTATTTTTGACGATATTTCTAGCACATTTGTAATCATCAAAAGTCTTGTTGCAAAACATTAAATACCAATCTGCCCCTAAGAAGTTAATTGAAAAAGTGAATCTGTGTTCTATTCAAACAAGAACTTCAAATTCTAAAGATAATTCAATAAAGTTTAGAAATGATTTTCTGATAAATACTAATAAATTACCTGTCCCCAGGTTGAACAGAGTCTACAAGATCGTTGTGGGCATATAAAATTACAGTGTGAGGAGTCTGACCAGGAGGCATATCATCTAAAAAAAAAGTTACAATAATTAATTAAAAAAAAAAATCACACTTATTTTATGATAATTGTTTGAAGTACGGAAAATACTATCTCCTAAATTAAACAAATTGACTTTTATTAATTTTGTATACATTATTTAAAAGTGAATATTGAATCTAAAACATATATTATTACTAAATATATTGAAAAATAATAAAACAATGAAGCTATTATAATTAAAAACACATGAATATACTCATAAAATTTATAATTGTAAAAGTTGTTACAACTGCAGAAAGTGACAAAACAGTATATCTAAGATAACAAAAAGTCTTTAAATGGAATCAAGAAAAACTGAAAATGATACAATTAATGTTGATGGTTGAGCGTTTCTCTTTCTAAACATCACTGATTTAAGTCAATTTCATTCAGTACTAAATACATACATATATATATATATATATATATATATATATATATATCCTTAAGAGTGCAATATTTTTTAAAGTAAATCCTTTTTCCAAAAATGAGAGAAATACAATCCCAGCTTCATTTACACTAAAAAGCTATCTGCACATTAAAAAATTGAGATTGTAAAAAGATTGAAGATATGCGAAAATGAAAACATAGCACTTGAATATGGCATTGCTACATTAACTGAAGTGATTTGATATTTAAACTTTGTATAAATTTTGGAATAAGTGTAACAAAGAAGAAGGCAGTTTTAAATGTGTGAAAAAGAATTTTGAAAATTTAAATAAAGCATGTAATTTTGTTCTGTTCTCACATAAATGTTAACAGACATTTCTTAAAGTTGCTCAAAAAATCAGCACTCTTAAATAAATAACAAACTAACACTTTTTTTTAAAGAGTTCTTTAGAATATCTACTGTTTTCATTGGATATCTTATTGACTGTTTTCTTAGATATAGGTAAATAAAAGAATTATTTACCTATTAGAAGTTAATGCTCTCTGTTGCATGGTCTAACAAGAAATATTTAACACAATTGCAATTTTAATTAAAGTGTTTCAATAAATTTAATGCAGCCAAACATTACAATAAATAAAATATGTTCTCTCAGTTTATGATTTTAAAATTCAGAGATTATTGCATTGACAATTGTATAAAAACCATTTGAAATTAACTCTTCAAAAAAATTATTCAAAAAGAAAACCTAAATGAAACATAAATAAAAGTACGTAAATGACCCTTCTGCCAATTGTTTAAAAATTTTATTATTTATTGAATTGTTAAATTGATTAGATTTTATGTTTTGTTAACAGTTAGCATAGATTTTAATTAAAAAAAAAATAATTCAAGAGTTCTGAAAGCAGTCAAATGTCATTTTTAAAAAAATAATTAGTAATCAATATGATAGTTTATCAGTTTGAAATTCGTTTATTGTTGAATCAAAACTCTTTAAGTAAATGACAAAAGAGATCAATTGAATATTTTTTAAGAACAAATTTTCATGATACAAGATTTTATTTTTAACAGCATCTTCTAAAAATAATAAATAACCAAATGGTTCATTAATTCACCATCATAAAATATTATAATTGGGAAGCTTTTCCAAGTTTTTCCCCCCCTTAGAATAAGAAGATATCTAAACCAATTTTCTACAATTTGCAGACGATCTGCAAACTCAACATATCAAAATTTTTGCAACTTTAGAATTGTTATTGAAGTCCTATCTTTAAATCTAACTAAGGGCTGGTGATCAAATGTGATATAAAAAGATCGCTTTAAGATTCTTTAAATGAAAACTTGAAGTTTTAGTTTAAGTATCTCAGTTGTCAAAAACTCAAACTAAAGAACTAAATTTTTATCCGCAAATGGAACAGTGGTAAACATACTTATTTTAATAATCATTATTTATAGTACAGCAGGGAACCGATTATCCGGAACGATCGGGACCATCTCTATTCCGGATAACTGATTTTTCCGGTTTTCTGAATCGCTACAAAAAGCCGTTTTTTTAATTGTTAAATCCAACTAAAAAAATATATATATTTGGAAATAATCTTAAAAAGAAGAAAAAACGATGAAGTAATACACTAATGATTATTTCCAAACTGATGGTAAGGTAAACATCTTTCAAAAAAGAAAGAAAAATCCTAAAATCTTCTGAGGGAAAAAACATTTTTTTTTTTTTAAAAAAAAGGCGGAAAAATTTATAGAATTTTGTTCCGGCTTTTTGGTTTTCCGATCTCCGGATAACGGGTTCTGTACTGTATAATAAAAAAATGTCAACCAAGAAATGCAATTTAATTATTATTATCAATAATCAAAAATTATAATTAAACTTTACCTGGTGCTTCTTGCAGTTTAATCATTTGTTTATCAGTAAACTCAGAACGGTTATGACTCAGACTAAAAGAATAATTTGTGTTGCAGAAAGTACAAACTGTTGGTTCAGCAATACGTCCCCGATCAAGCTCAACATCTGATGTTTCTGAACATATACTGCAAGTGAAGAATGCTTTGCGCATTTCAGGAATGAGATTTGATGATCTAATGACCATTCCACAGATTGTAATCAGTTGATCAATATCTGAAAAAATTATATAGAGACAATTCAAAATAACATTTGAAGTATAATAAACATAATAACAGCTGCAGTGATGTGAGTGGTGTGTTATAGAGAAATATAGAGTAGGAATGAAACAAATATTTGGCCTCTTTGTCCTAAATATTTAGTTAGCATTAGTTGGAGTACTAAAGTACTAAGTTTCTTTTTATCTACCAAATAGTTGGGTACAGACTCATAATTTAATTGGTGCAAAAATGAGAGTTAACAATGACATATTATGGATAAAAGTATCATGCAATAATTATTTAATATTTTTATAAAACCAACAGATCAAGCAAAAAGTAATGTCGTTATAACCGACATATATTTTCAAATTAAATTTTTTAACTGCATGGAAATAGGTGTTAATGTAAAATAATGAATTAATAAAGAGAGAAACGCTTAAAATAGACAAACTTGCTTTAAAATTACAAAACAATTCCATATTTGCTATATTCAAATTTTAAAATAAAACTTACCTATTTTACAACACACAATATAATAACAATAACAAAAAATACATAATAATGTGCAATTATTTAAAAATATTTGACAAATTGCCAATTTTGTAATTTTTATAAATATAAATTTGAAACTTATTCATCCAAATTTTTTTTTATTTTCATTGCACATAAAAATTTGGGCAAATGCTCTATTCTTTATAATAATTTGGAAACAATTAGTCTTAAGCCTCTATTTAGGAAACTACAGACTTCTAAAATTTAAAGTAAAAAGAATAAGACAAAATATTATAATTATTTTTAATTCAAATATATCAGTATGTATTGAATAACAAAAATATTAACACATTCACCTTTTTTTTGTGGAATGACTAAAGATACATATATATGAATACACACAATTGAAGTATGCCATAAAAAATTTTAAAACAAATTGCCATATTTTTTTTTCTTAAAATTCATAATTTATCCTATTATTAAGCTATTCTAAATGTTTTAGCATAATTTATAAAATAAATATAAAAACATTTATTTTTGTGTTTACTGACATCACGATTGTAGGCACCAACTTTACTGTTTTACTAAGCACATTTAAATCATTTCACCCATTCATTCATTCAATCAGCAAATCCCAGCAATTTTAAAAATGATGAATTTATTTGCCCCTTCATTAGTCTAATTTCAAATTGAACACCAAAATACAGGTATACAATAACTTCTTTTTAGTGAAATACCCTGCAGTGAAGTGATAATAATAATAAAAAAAAAAACACATTAATTTTAGATTGAACACCAAAATAACAGGTATACAAAATTTTTTTATTTTTTTTTTAGTGAAATGTCCTGCAGTGAAGTGATAATACATATAAAAAAAATATTTTAATTCTCCAGCTAATTTTAAATAAAACAGGATTATTTTTTGATGAAATTTAACACAGCAAGGTAGTAATCTATTTGATAACTGATTTGAACCTAAACTAATCAAATCTTAAATTCTGTATATACAGAACAGTCACAAGGATGGAGCATGCATATGCAAGCAAGCAGGGCATATGCCCAAGGCTAGTGAAATTTGAAAACTTTGTTTCCTATTTTATCGCATAGATGAAATAGAAAAGGAAGTAGTCTCCACATTCCTCACATAAAAAACAGACATGAAAGTGGACAAAAATAAAAAAAGGTGAACACAGTCACTGGGAGTTTTTTTAAGTTGTTAATTTTTAAGGAATGAAATTCTGAAACGGGAAACTAAATCTATCAAATGAATTAATTTCAATATTTGGATGTTTTGGATCGGGTCTCAGGAAAAAAAATATCATGACTGTTAAAAAACTTTTTATGACCATCTATAGGCATTTAACTGGTGTAAAGGTTATTGAAGGCATTTCACATTCTTGTGATTGGTCTAAATATAAAAAAAGATTAAATTGCTTGAAGGACTATCAACGAGATAACTGCTGTTTTACTGAGTAATATGTTGACAACACACTTTTTTGAAGCATTATATATGATTCAATTAGATACAAGAATACTGAGCCAAAAAAATTTTCAAGTTTGATGTTATTTTTATATGCACTGCTATTTCACGCAGAGGTTAATTTAAGTAAAGTTCAACAGTAAATTCAAGTACAAAAACATATTTAAAATATTATTAACAATCGTAAATTATCATATCTTTTCTTATAATAAAAAGTTGTCATTGGAAGACAATTAAAAATAGCTCAGACTATAATAAATTTTTCCTTTCTACCTGAAAAAAATCTTTATTATTATTTACTTAAAAATATGTTGTATTCCTCATTATTGCAAATTTAAGCTTTTACAATTTGTTTGACTGTCAGGGAAAAAAAAAGTTAATAAAAATATACATATATAAAAAAAAAAGTTTTTTTTTTTTTTTTTTTTTTTTTTTTTTTTTGTTTTTTAGCTACACTTTGTTACTTCTAATATAATTTAAGGTACTATTTTTATTCTTATTGCTTTCCAAATTAGTCTGGACATCAATTATTTTCTGCTACTTCAAAAAATTTGAAAAATTTCAAATTTTCCTTCTCTGCTACTTTCATGTAAGACATTATCTACTTGCAGGTTTAAATGTCTTATAATAGAATATTCAACTTCATTAAGTTTACAATCTTTCTGCCTTTCAAAGCAGTCTGAAAATTCTGAAGTTTACAGTCTTTCTGCTTTCAAATCAGTCTGAAAATTCCAATTTCTTCCACTTATACATTTTTATATAAAAGATCCGATTTCTCAGCAATCACATATTTTTTAAGAACTAACCAATTGCATAAAAAATTTATGCTCCATACACTAAGTTAAAAGGTATATTACAGGAAAATTTTCTCAAAAACCTTGTATTTTTTAAAATTTTTGTCTGGACATTTTGACTTTTTTTTTCCGAATTCTGACGCTTTTATGACACAAAATTCTTGAAGTGGATCACTTCTTGAAGCTGGCGGGAAAAAAAGCGACTTTCTTGACCCTTTTACAAATTAGAGACCAAATTGAGCAATTTTCGAAAAAAAAAAAAAAAAAAGACGTGCATACATTGCATGAAACAGTTTCAAATGGGAGACGTGATAAATACTGACTGAAATAATTTATGTATTATTAATAAGTTATTAACGAATAATAATTAATAAATTACGAAAAAAAATGAAAGATTCGTGACAAGTAGACACACAGGATATATATGCAAAAATTTCAGAAAGGAAAACACAGAGAGATAACATTTAGAGGATCTAGCAAACTGTAAAAACAGTTCTGTGAATCTAATATGTTTACAGTTAGTATAAAATTACAAAGTAAAAATTGGTAGAGCTCAGTTAACTTTAAATTGAAGAAAACAAATAACTAACACGGCACACCCCTTAGATGAAATTTGATAAAGGATAGTAATACATTCAATAACCGATTTGAGCTTTAGATTATCAAATTATAATCTCTTCAAACATTTTCACATTTAAGTATTAAAATAATCGAATAATAAGTTTTGAGACATCTTTTTATAATAAATTAAGATGTAGTAAGGTAAATAAATATAAAACTCATTTTCATATGTTATTAAATAATGCTATTTTGACTGAGTTAGAAAATATGAGCAAGTAATATACCTTCAGGACTTAAAAGTCTTAAATTCTTTGTTTTTTCTGCATTGAAGGGACGAGTTTGTATTTGATGAGGCAGTTTACTATTTGGGTAACGCTCAAAGTACAACTCATTTACAGCCATATCAAAGGTTGGTATGACTTCTTGAGGATAAGCAACCAACTGACGATACAGTTCTTGATCAAAATTTATAAGATGGGCACAATTAACATTTAGGAAAGGTTCTTCAAGTGTGAAAATCTGAAATACATAAATTTTAAATTAACATATTTCCGATAAAGTGCCACTATTAAGATAGAAATGTTGATCGACAATAACAATATACCTCTTCCAGTTTCTGGAGATAATACGGACGTGCAAAGTCGACATCGTCCATCAATTCATCCATTTCCAAGGTTACGTCAGTATACTCTTCTATAAATTGCCTGAACTTGGCTTTACACTGATCTACAACTACGTCTGTACCCCAAATGACCAGTTGAGGACCTCCTTGGTGATCACTAGTGACAGCAGTTGGTTCAGATGCAATTCCAGGTTCACTCTGAAAATAGGTAGGTAGGTGCTTTATTTATGTTGCACTAGAGCTGCACAACAGGCAATTGGTGACGGTCTGGGAAACATCCCCAAAGATGATCCGAAGACATGCCATCGCAATTTTGATCCTCTGCAGGGGGGATGGCTCGGTACCCTTGCTTTGTTAGCCTGACAAAATGCAAGCGAAGTCGAGCACTTTACCGTAGAATGGTTTAACTAGGACCGATACTGTGCACCCTCTGTCCCTACGCAGGCTGATCAAAGTGGTCACCAACCCGTTTACTGATAGCAGCCAGTGATGCCCGACTTTGATGTTTTACTGGGAAGCGTGTTTTTACGATCAGTCTACCGCAGGACTTTTGAAAATAAGACAATTGATTATGCAAAGTAGTGCCATGCTCAGTAGCAGTGACGGCAGCAGATTTATTTTATTAACCAAACATTAAAAAAACTTTTTTTTTCATTCACGGACAAAATTAAGTTATACTAAAAAGAATGATCTGTTATTTATTATTTTTATTTCCCCATCACATATTGCATGATGTCATATTTAATGAGAATTAGTAACAGTTTGGGACACTACTCTGGCAAAACTTTATGTTCACAGTATTCTAAAAATTTTGTAATATTTTAATATTTAAAACATTATTTGAAATGCAAAACTATTCTATTTCAGGACAAACTTTAAATTTCCCATGTTTAAACTTTGCAATGTTTATCCAGTATTTAGTTCATTTTTTTAAAAAAAATGTTCGTTATGTTGCTTTATTTTAATAAAATAAAAAATACTATATTTCACGATATTTTATTGATACAGAATTATTTTTAAAATTATTTAAAACTATTAACAGTTCAATTAGTTAATTTTAAGTACTTTCTTTGAGCACTGCAGATGTTTCCTCATCCATTGAAATATTAAGATATTCTCGCCTTTTCAAACTTAATTACCTGTAAAGTGTTATATTTGACTTTCTCTTATAATGTTGCAGATGAATAGAGGTTACTGCTACTGGGATGTTATGTATAGTGGATTACATTGAAGTAGCATAACTTTCAGATATTTGTTATTTCTAATACTAAAGATAAGTATAATTCAAAGAAAAGCTTTTCCTTTTATATAATTTGCTTCAACTTAACTGATAGGTGTTGTAAAGACTTAAGTATCTAATCAAACACCAATTCAGGATTTCCAACTTGATGTCTATTTTAAATGTAAATAAATTTTTGTGAATAAACTTAGCACCATCTAAATTTTGAAAAGCATTATTTCATTTTAGTTTAAAAATGACAAAAAGGGAGAGTGTATTGCAGATATTTTCTAGTTCTGTAAAATATTATAATAAAATAGAACACATTTCACATTGAAACTATGAAATATTGATTTTAGAAAAATTCATTACTAATATAAATTTTCCTTATTATATGCATACATCTGTTTTATTATAAGGCATGATTTCAATTACATATAATCAACACTATCAGCTTTGAATAGCAGTATACAAACATACGAGGGTTGTAAATTAAATAGTGGCAACTTAACCTTTAAACTCACAGAAGGACGGGCATGCACAAATTAGATATGGGAGCTGTGAGGTGGGGCTGTTGTCGATGTGTAGAGTGCAAAAAAAAAGTCGATTAGCTTAGAAGGGTAGTTGTTGTGTGGCGTTAAAGTGAGGAGTTTCGTTTCCATCGCTCTAAAGCATGTTTTCAAAAGGTGATCAGCGGTCGTTGCTTACAATCGAGGTTGCCCGTGTCAAAAATGCAACAGAATGCTATCGAGGATTAGTGGAAGCCTTTGGAGCAAATGCTTTACCATATAGGACAGTAGCACGATGGATTCAAGCATCTCGTCTTTTTCGTCATTAAGCCTTTTCACAACATGCTTTAGAGCGATGGAAACGAAACTCCTCACTTTAACGCCACGCAACAACTACCCTTCTAAGCAAATCGACTGTTTTTTGCACTCTACACATCGACAACAGCGCCACCTCACCGCACCCATACCCTATTTGCGCATGCGCGCCCTTTTGTGAGTTTCAAGGCTAAGTTGCCACTATTTAATTTACAACTTTCGTATTAAAAAAGTATGTATAATGAAAAAAATCCTCATAATTTTTTTATTTTTGTTGAATAAAATTGGGATGCACAAAATATTTTAATACAGTATTAATAATTTTTAAAATATTTTCAGAAATTAGGAAAAATTTTCCATATAACAAAGTTCTTAACAAAAACAGCTTTATAGAGAGTGTTTAGATACACAGAAATAATATAAGCTTTAACAGAAACTTACAAGTTACATTAAAATATATTTAAAAAAAATCTAAATAATACATACGTTTTCATCCCCAACATTAACTTGTCTCATTAATCTTTCACTTCGAATGTCATGGCGCTGTCTGATTGGTGTGTTTCTCCTGTGAATATAAGGAAGCAGGTTTGAATTACAGTAGAAATTAACAAATGTATGAAAATGGTTAAAACCAATACCAGAAATTTAAGAAAAGACACACAAAATAAAAAAGATTGATAAAAACAAATAAATTATTTACTATTATAATACAGTGTCTATCATGCAAAACAAGTTTAATTTTGTAAACATGTATCCTATTCCAATGTTGTCGTTTTTGTCGACCATTAAGGAAGAGTGGGTGCGATTGTTCTTGTTTTCCAGTGGCGCCATCTATGGCTACTTCTGCCAAACCTATACGTCACACCCGTTTTATAGGGTGGACCCAATCACACATCTATTCATTCACCCACAGATCATAATTTCAAACTGAACTAGAGAACAATCAATCTCCAATTCAGTACCTCCAAGGGTATAATTTGTTATATTTGGAACATACAGAACTTTGTGACCTGACAAATTTAACATGCACCAGCCACCATTTACTACACGGGGAGTCTTCGGCTCCTGGATTCCAACGAATGTGAGTTCAGCGATCTGTCTCATCCTATTTCAATTAGGAACATATATAATCCAACTCTCCTCTGCAGCCGAGAGGCATAACTGCCAATGTGTATTATGTTTGCATGCTTTATGTTTAATGAAATTAAAGTGGTGGGTAGTAAAAAAAAGAATCCCCACCAGCTAAATCTGCTATTAAAAGATGAAAAATAAAATTATTTATTCACAAAATATTAAAATAAAAAAAAAATTAAAATGCTAAATTTGTAGAATAAAACTGGAGGAAATTCGCCAAAACAAATCGGAGGAATTTTGCCCTCTGGCGGAAAAATTATATTACATAACAAACACAAAAACTATTTTTACAATATGAATTATGACTGCAGTTAACATTCTAATTTATAAAGACTAGTTTCTTATATTTTATAATAACTTTATTCCAATACTGTTATTGCTTAAAGTTACAATAGTACTAATGAATGAATCCCCCCCCCCCCCNCCCCCCCCCCCGCCTAGTATGGACATCATTCTCGATAAAATAATAAATATATTTACTATTAATATTTTAGACTCCTTTGTAACATTTAGCTTGGGAACATATTGAATGCGCAATTAAGCTATTATTTAAATTTTTTTTGTCTCTTTTTACAATCAACGAATGTTTGTTTAACGAGTAAGAACTATCAGAGGTAAAATGATGTTAAAGGACTGTGTTAGTAATACATAAATGAGTTAGGGGCAATGGGGTAGTTATACATAAAAACAAACCTGACAAGTTTAATTACTCTGGATGATTAAGTATAGTTTGTAAATACTTAAAAAAAAAAAAAAACTCTTTGAAATGCCGTGCTATCGAAAAATGTCCATAAACAAAAAAATCAAAACAGAAAAAATAAAAATAGATCTTAATTTTTGAAAGAAAATTTTAGAGCTAAACATCTGTATTTTCCAAGAAAAAGAATAATAAAGTCAAATAGAAACTCTTTTAATTGCCGCGTCATAATAAAAACATCTAAGAAAATAAAAAAATTTAAAAAAAGGGAAAGTTAGATAAAAAGCGAAACAAAAATAGCTTTTAATTTTTAAAAGAAAAATTTAATGCTAAAAACCACAATGTAACTTTTTTACATTGCCATATTTTTGAAAAAAAAAAAAAAAGGATTATAAAATAATAATGTTCATTAGAAGTGCTTATAAGAAGTTAATATAAAGAAGTAAAGGAGAAACAGATCTCAGTTACGCATTATCTGTCTTACCGTACAGGAAAAAAGTGACAATAAAAATAAGAAACGCTTTGTAATTCTTAAAATTTCGCTTTTTCATTTGTCTTTCAGAACATAAATTAACAAATTTTAGAACTTAACAAATATGTGTGAAAACTTCACTATCCTACAATAATCGAAGACCTTGAGTTCTTGACATTTTTTTCTAAATTTTTCAAGAAATACTTAAAGTATTATTTTGTAACTTTAGAGGTATTTAGTTCCTGCAATTTTTTACACTTAGCAATGAAGTTCAAAGGTTTGGGGTAACAACAATAAGTATTTCTGAACACCCTATGCCAGAAAATTAAGCAATAAGTTCGTAACTTCTATCAATTACTTTTGTTGTCATTTGCAATAACTGCATAAAATTTCGTAAACCTAGCTTAAATATCTATGGAAATTAGTTTAATTACTATCAAATTTTTTTGTCTTCCTTTTTTTTTTCTCTTTTTGCTCTAACTTTAAAAATATTCCATAAAATTAAACGAAATTTTGCAACAATTTAAAATTTATTAAAAACTGTGCGAGATATAAGTATTTAAAGTAGTTCTTTTTTCAAAAGCATGCACAGAAAATATTATACATTGCCCCCCCTTGTAGTGAATTGTAATCGGTAACTAATGGAAAAAGTCTGATTTGAATATCTTAAATATTTTAAAGTTTTCAGCAACTTTCGAAGTAGTCTTTGTACTTTTAAAAAAAGGACCTCAAAATGATCAGGAGTTTTTCCCTAATTTAATTTTGTAGTATGGAAAATTACACATCTAATAACCTATAATGAAATTTGTAAAAAATCCCAAATCGTTTTAAGCTTTTTAAAAATAAAAACACTACTTCGAAAATTGCTTGAAACATTTAAAATTTTTAAGATATTCAAATCAGATTTTTTTTTTAATTAGTTGCTATAGATAATTCACAACAAAATTAAGACAATTTTTTTTTTCCTGCTCATGCTCTTTACGAATGAACTACCTAAAATACTCATACCTTGCACGGTTTTCAACCATTTTTCTTCAAATTTTAAAAGAATAATTTTGTAATAAATTTAAAATTACCCTGAAAATTTTTTTCTCCATATTTCCATAAATATTTAAGCTAGGTTTACGAAATTTTATGCAGTAATTGCAATTAACTACAAATAAAAATACTTTTTTTTTCTTCGTAATTTATTCTGAGTCCCCCAAACCTTTGAAAGCCTTAAACTTTACTGCTAGTTACAAAAAGTAGCATGAACACTTCTAAAGTTGCAAAATAGTCTTCTAAGTATTTCTTGAGAAATTTGAAAAAATAATATAAAATAAGACATGAATTGATTGCAAAGTTGCCACTCATTTCTGGAAGAAAAAATTCCTGCGTTTTCACTGGGCATATTATACATAATATATTAAAAGGAAACACAGATTTACTGCGCTCGTGTGAGCTATATTAGGATAAGAATGCTAGTTTTAGCTGCTGGGAAAACGTAAAGAAATTAGGAATAGCTAAACATAAAACAAATAATACTCGTGATGGTGTAGTGCATAGGGGGGAATAAAAGGCAATGGCTAGCTCACTTTTTATTTTATTTTAACCTACATGATTATATTTAAGCACACAGCACATTCACAAACATAACATATAAAACAAAGATGAAGAAGAAAAAAAAAATTAAGGAGCTCTGTATGGCAGGCTTTCTACCGTTCGTTCACTAGCACTCATTGTCTCTGAGTTTTTTTTCTTCTAGTTTCTCGCAAGGTGGCGTTGCTAATTCTATTTTCTCCACATACTAAAATAAATGAAAAATTTAATATAGGTCACTATCATCTTTACATATCAAATAGATTGTGCTTTCAGAGGTCTGTATTTTTCAAAAGACAAAAATAAGAAATAAATTTCCCTGCTTTTTTCAAAGTTCATAAAAAAAGAATAAAAATTCACTGTTATTTTAGATGATTTTTAAATTCTCTGTGGAGTGGCAACCCTGTGATAGTACAAAAGCATTTACATACCCAACAGATGGTCCAGCAGTACCATGAGAGCTAGGCGTACCATAGTTTAATGGTGAACTTAAATCCAGTTCACTAAATGCTGAAACAAAAAGAAACATTCCATGAAGATACATATAAACCATAATAAAAATCTTAAAAAAAGTATGGGGCTATGAGAATTCAAGGTCATGGTTTTATTAAAATAAAACAGAAGTATAAGAGGGGGGAAAAAATCCTGTCCTCGGACATCTTTAATGAATAAAACAACAAACACAATTAATCTAATTTTTTTTTTGAAAAATAAAATTGGATAATGTGTAAATTTTTGAATAAATATTTTAGAAGATAACCCTAAATTTGTACGAATGACAAACATATATTTCATTGTTATGTATCCTTTTAGACTTTACAAAGGAATTTTTCAAATGATGTTAAGTTGGTGTTTTCTACAGCAATTAAAATTTTTCTCAAAATTGGTTCAGAAAGCATTCTTTCTATTTAGTATTTGAAATTTTTTTAAATCTAAATTTTACTTCAAATCTGATATAAGATATTAATTGATGAAAATAATTGAAATTGTTTGTGAATTATACTTGAAACAATATTGAAGTTTAGATCATTAAAATTCTCTTGCAATATTCAGCTGCAAGCTTTCGTGCGTGGAAAAAAAAAATTATAAATGAAGCTTCTCTCTTGTTGACTACTTTTACAAAATTGTAGTTTTTTCCACTGATGAAGAAACTTGTGTCATCTCTAGTGACATCCTTTGGCTACTAACTATTAATTTAATTAATTAATTTCTATCCCTAAGTCAATTGCATTTGCAAAATAGAGAACAACTGCAAAACTATAGGTTAAACTTGAAAATAAACAATTCATACCAGCTCTGCCTGTCGGATCTGGAGGAGATGAAGCTATTGCTTGCATATTTTCTGGAGGTGAGGACGGTGGTAAGGGCATCAATTCTGATGACCTATCACCTGAGCCAGCTGCATTTCTACTAGAACGACGAGTTGACCGAGCTACAACAATATAATTATTGTAAGAAATTAAATAAAAGTTTCAGTGAAGCATACATAAAATTGCCTAATTACTTTTAGGCAGTATAGGATGAGCAACAACATTATTAAGGTAATAAGAAAATAAATCATTCCATATTTAAGCAGCCTCTTTTACTTCAGGCTGTTTGAAATTATTCTGAATATTTTTAGGCTAGAGTTTTCCAACAAGTATAGTACGGCTTTCAGGAGAACAGCTCCTAACACCTGTCTTGCGTCGTGGCGAGAACTATGGTTACGAGGGTAAGTCACTTCTAATAGGGGTGTGGAGTGAAAGTGACTAGTTATGTAATGATCTTAGCTTCGCACAAATCGGCGAATCTTTGCTCCCCATCCCTAGTATTAGTGGCAGCCCTAGAGCCAAGTGATAGGAACTCGTCTTTCTTTTATTCTCTCGTTTTCTGACAGAGCAGCTTAGTTTTTAAATCGTTTAATTTATCAGTAATAATCATTTAAATTATTTTAATCATGAATTATTTAATTGTTGTTAGCTTTACGTTTTTTTCTTCTTTTAATCGTTGTTAATTTTATCTTGTTTGTTTTAATTAATTTTTTTAAAATTTTTTTGTTTGTTGTTTTTGTTAGTTATGCCTATCATTTTTAAAAAAGCAATTGCTCAGCAATTTGAATGAAGTTTCTTAACATTGGTAAACCTATTTTGAGCTGCATGAATACAAAACCTGATATTTTAAATATGTTCATATCTTCAGCAGTAATGTTACTATCTTTTCATTAAATTTATGATCAGAAATAATTCTTAGTTTCCTAACAAAATTAAATATTTTTAAAAACACCAAAACATAACTAAGAAGTTTATTTATTATTTTTTTAAATTAATTTTCTTAAATGTACGATATTAGAAAAGTTAAAGTAAGAACCACTAAGTATTATAAAATTTAAAATAAGAACAAAATTTTTGAAGCAAAAAGTTGCTTTTCAAATTGCATAATACATTATTCTTGTAGATATGTTTTGAGTTTTTAACTTTCATTTCTTATATTTAGTTAAATATTTGTTAAAGCCTTATAGTCCTTAAAATTTCATAGATAAAAAAAATATAAGGAAAAATGTTAATGAACTTTCTATATGAAGAGTAAATGCTTTATCCAATCATTTAATAAACGGTATTAAAAAGCTGCATGAAAATAAGATTATTTTTTATACAAAAAAAAATTATAATGAAAAAATTTAAGTACAATTTTGAAATTGAAAATTGCTTTTTGTTAAAACAAACAGCAAACTAATAATTATATAATAATGATAATCAAATTCAGTTTTATGCATGTAACAACAATTAATAAATTAATCACATGAAAAAAGAAAAACTATGTATAAGAAACCTAAATCAAATGCCTCTTGAATATAGTGATTATAGAAAGATATTTTTCTTTTTCAGAAAAAAAAAAAAAATTCATCGAAACAGAGAAATAATCTCAAAAGATATTTCATAAGACAAATGAAGTTGACTAAAAAAAGGTTTTTAACCACCATTAAAAAAAAAAAAAAAAAATTATTTCCAATAAATAAATAGCAGCTGAATTCTAAATAAATTAATACATATCGAAAAAAAGTATAAATGAAAATACGGTTTCGATTAGGCCTATATTATTTTTTCTCCATAAGAAAAAGCAAAAGATTTTCTAAACCTTAATTCAAAAATTTGAACAGGTCTCTTGAAAGCGGATAAACCAGCCAATCTGGTAGACCAATCGACTCCTTCATTGCTCTATTACACCCCCATTAGAAATGTTATCTCACTCATTACCATAGCAGTAGACTCTTTGTCTGGAGCAGTTATACTCAAAGTAGCACTATACGACTCATTACAAAATGAAGGCAACATTTGTAAAAAAGCCAGATTTTCTGAATAGGCTGATAATTTCACTTCTAATCCGATATAAGATATTATTTAATGAAAATAATTGAAATTGTTTGTGAATTATAGTTGAAACAATATTGAACTTTTGATCATTAAAATAAAAATTCTCTTGCAATATTCAGTTGCAAGCCTTCGTGCATGGAAAAAAAATTAATAAATAAAAAGTTTTTCTCACTGTAATCAATCTTTCTCTCTTGTTGACTAATTTTACAAAATTGCACAGTTTATTCCACTGTGGAAGAAACTTGTGTCATCTCTAGTGACATCTTTTGGTTACTAACTATTAATTTATCTCCAACTATTAATTTAAATTCCAACACATTTGAAATTACATTTTTAAAAATCTTTTGATTCTTGAGATCTTGAGATTGAAAGTACAGATTAAAGTAAACATTTAATGCTGTCTTAATATAGACGTGCATAGCTGCAAAAAGTAATTAATAAAAAATATTTTTTTTCAACAAATAATGCAAATAATGTTAATTAAAATTCAACCTTTTGAATGAAAAAGCATAGAATTAAAATCTACATTATATTTTATTGGTGGAAAATGTATATTTCTGAAGCTTGAGGTTATATTAAATATAGAATTTAAAATAAATATTTTAATATAAAAATATAGATTAAATATTTACTTATTATTTGATGAATGACTACATTCATAAACACAATCTGTTACATTTATTTTGTCATTTTAAAAATCAAGAGAAAAAAAAAAGAAATCACAATTTTAAATTAAAATTATGGTTTGCTTATTGAAACTTTGTTTTATTAGTTGAAGTACAGGGGTCTGTCCAAGTCAAATTTATTTAAGTTTAGCGGTACTTTCACAAATTCAACTTTAGGAAAAACAGTAGAATAATTTCACAAAATACTTTTTCTTAAAATTTTACTTTTGTGTCTCATAAGAAACGATAAATCCATATTTTTTTTCCATATTTGTGTTGATTTTTTAACATATTATGCCTAAATTTTCACAAAATAGGTACCTCTCACAAAAACCTAGACAGACCCCTGAAGTATTCTTTAAATTCTCTACTTCAACTAGTCTTTAAATTTCAATCATGCATTTGTTTCAAAATGGTTGCTATGCATTCAAAGCTATGTATTATAATGAAAAATTATTTTAGTAAGTTAAGAGCTTCTAAAATATTGTTATAGTACAGTTTTAATATTAATTTAATTTTGATTAAAAATTTATAAAGTTTATTTAATCATAAATTAAAGTTCTTACAATGAAATTTAAAATCAAAATTGAATAAAAATCAAAAAAATCTGATTTAAATCAAATAAATCTGATTTTTTAAAAAAAATCACGAACTCTGTCCCTAAGTCATTTGCAAAATAGAGAACAACTTCAAAACTATAGGTCAGGAATGGCAAACCAATGGCATGCGTGCCATTTATGGCAAGCGACACAATATTTTGGGCACTCCACCGATCACTTGTTTCATTTTGAAGCATATGTAACAATTAAATTAAAATTCACAAAAAATAAACAAAATATTAAACAATACTAATAAAAAAATTAATGCTAAAAAAACAATTAATAACCATAAAAACAAGCAAAAAAAATTTCAACAGTCCTGCTTGAACTAACATCCTACAACCTAATACAAGTTATTTGTTATCTAATCTGCAACAACAGAAGTCACACTGATGTTACTTGAAAGTTGAATTATGCGTATAACTAAGATATTGCAAAATGTATTTTTTTTCAATGTAAATAAAGAGTTTTGAGTTGATAGTATTTAGTATTATTATTTTCCCAATAATCATGAAGTCAAAATTATTTGACGGCACGTCTATGACCTCATTACGAGATTTTTTTTAGAGAAAATGGAACGATGGTGTATAAAGGTTCGCCACCCCTGCTATAGGTTAAACTTGAAAATAAGCAATTCATACCAGCCCTGCTTGTCGGATCTGGAGGAGATGAAGCTATTGCTTGCATATTTTCTGGAGGTGAGGACGGTGGTAAGGGCATCAATTCTGATGACCTATCATCTGAGCCAGCTGCATTTCTACCAGAACGACGAGTTGACCGAGCTACAATAATATAATTATTGCAAGAAATTAAATAAAAGTTTCAGTGAAGAATATTTAAAATTGCCTAATTACTTTTAGGCAGTATAAGATGAGCAACAACATTTTTAAGGTAATAAGAAAATAAATCATTCCATATTCAATCAGCCTCTTTTACTTCAGGCTGTTTGAAATTATCTGAATATTTTTAGGCTAGAGTTTTCCAACAAGTACGACCCATTACAAAATGATGGCAACATTTGAAAAAACACCAGATTTTCTTAATAAGCTTATACCATGAATGAAACTTACCAGGCGAACTCGTTGTCGAAGAATTTGAATTTCTTGATCTTGGTCCCCTAACCATGTTTCTTAGTCTAAAATAACACAATGAAGGTGTTTTAGAACATGAATTTCTTAACTTAATTACGGTAAAGTAGTTAGATTGATACAGAAGAAAAATAGTGCAAAATATAATATAAAATAACATCATAAACAAAATATTACAGTTGCATAAGACAGTATTCAGCTAAGAAATGTACAAAATAATTTTAAGTCTACTGATTCTTGGAAAGTCTTGGATCAAATCATTGGAGATATATACCTATATAATGAACATTCCTGATAAATTTCATATAACTATATGATGATCTAATTAAATTAATAGATATCTAGTTACCTTTCCACATCTGGGATATATCTATTAAAATAAAATTTGCTCCTTGAAATATAAGAGTAAGAGTTTATTTAGAGTAATTTAAGATTTTTTATAGGAGGTTACAATAAAGCTAGATTGAAAATGCAAAATATGAATTTTATCCAAATAGTGAAGGGATATTTCCGTATCGTGAACTGTCAAGACGTTAAATTATTTTTAAACTGGGAAATTTAAAAAAGAAACAACAACAAACAAACATGGAGAGGTTTGGGGGTAAAAACGAGTTATACCTTTTGAGTAGGCCCCATTCTGTTAAATTTTTCTTGCGGGCCGTTACCAAGATTTGAGGATTATTCTGCTTCGATCACAATAAAGAAATCTTTTTAAAAGATGAAACATAAATTATTTAAAGGAATGTGAATTTTATTTATGGGGAGAATTCCATAATGTGATCTGTGGCAGAATAATAGGCAAGTCTTGGCAACTTCCACGCAGCCACCCACAAGAAACTGAATAAAAAAAAAAAAAAAAGGGGACAAATATAGCAATAAAAAGAGAACAAGTAGTAAACATCTACACTGTTCTTTTTAAAAGATTTACAAGTTTAAAATCTAGTTGGTGATCGTAGTTGGCGTGACAGATCACGATATGGAAACATACTTTTAATTGTGATCTACAGCACATATTGATAATAGTTTCAGATTCATTGAAAATATTATATTTTCTTTTAAAAAGACAACATTTCTGTTGTTATATTATTTTTTTTTTTGCAGAAATGTACAGATTTCATTTTAACACATTTAATTTTACAAATATTGTGCCAACAGCCCCCTCTCTATCCTATAATCAATTTTAATTGAATCTATAAAATAACAGGGTCCTAAAAACTATTTCTCAAAAGGAACAATTAGTTCTTAAAAATTCAAATTTCATTCATCTAGATTCAAAATACATTGCACATAAGAGTATTTTCAGAAAGAAACAATGAATTATAGCAAAACATTTTTCAAAACAGACCTCGATAAAAAAATAAGTAAATGAATCACTGGGAAAATAATTAAAAATATTAATAATGTAGGTACACAAAGTTTACATGCATATTTGCCGTAGTTTATACATAATGAAATATTTCTAGAAAATATAATAAAGTACCTAAAATAATGCTAAATTTCAAACGTGTATAGGAATGAAATTGGAAAGCACACTAAAATCTTTAAAAAAGAAAAATTTCTAAAAAATTCTATAACAAAAGAAAAAGTCAACTACATCCAGGCAAAACTTGCGCGCGTAAACTTCAATGTTTTGTTGCCAGTTGAAATAAGAATAATTCAGTTGAAAAATTAATACAGAGTTGCTTTGTTGTTCAGAAGCCACCACTCATAATAAAATTTCATTGGCGTAACTTATCATCGTTAGTATTGTCATCGCTTAATTATTGTTTAGGGTTAACTTAACTTGGCTGCTTGAGCTTTATCAGCATTTTTTAAAAATTATTTCTGGAAACCAGTAACTTTTGTTGAATTTCAATTCAAAATTTTTAAAAGTCAATTTAATATTTTTTTAAAATCAGCAGAACTTTGATAAATAATCATTTTCATTTTGTGGAAATTTTCAGGATGTGTTTGAGCTATGAAAGTGTTGATGACAAACCTTTCAACAAAAACGCTCAAAATTCCAATTTTTCTTTTCTTTTTTTTTTTTTTAATAATTTGAAGAGTTTTAAGGGAATTTTCGTTTCTAACTGGATTTGCTTTAACCATATTAAATGAAAGTAATTTAAAACAACAAGTTTAGCTCTTAAAAACATTACATTTATTTTTCTCTGTTATGAATCTTCATATACATTTTTTTAATTTATCCGTTATTTGAGACGGAAGAGGGAGGGTGAGGATGGGTGGACTAATGCAAACAATAACAAGTGTCCTTAAACCGGAAAAAATTTAGAAAATTTCCGGTGTATCCCTCCGCATATGTTATGACTACGAGGCGATGTGTGAACAAGCCAAATATTCTATGCAGTTTTGTTATTGTAATTTGGTCTCAAATCTAAACATAATTGTACCATTCATAAGAGCTTTCAGAAATGTATTGATTCTCAGAAGTCGTAAGGCCAAAAAAAATTTTGGAAAGTTAATATCTCATTGTGAATAATTCTTAAGGTTTGCCATGTTTTGTATTTTATCCCTTATTTGGCTACATTTGAATAAAATGTCCCCAAAAATATCTTCTTAAGTTAGACTAATTAGAAAATATTCTAATGATTATAATATTAATATGATAATGCTGAAGTTTAAAGGCTGAAAGAAAGAACTCGGTATATGTGAAATACTGTAAAAGATGTGATGCAATAATATGATGGCGCGTTTTCTCAATCTGCGGCGTAAAAATATATCGGAAGCAGTAACCCGGAAGTCTGGAAAGAGCAATTTTACTACTAGCGCCGCCACCCTTAGCTTTACACGATCACCCATCCATGCCCGAAGCAAGAAGAAGAAAAAATTTACTTCTTAACAAACTTTTAAAGAATAAAAAAGTTTTACACATCATAAAAAATTTCAAAATTAAACATCTTTGACAAAAATAAAGTTTTTATAATTTAAAAAAAAAACTGCAAAATTGTCCAAAAAATTGTTTTATACAACCAGAGTAGGTGCAGCGGTTCCCTGCACATTAGCTCCACAACACCCTTTGTAGGCTTGGTGAACAGCATCGATAGACACAAACGCACGGTTCAATGGATGGTGTTTTCTACACTAGAGTGAACTGCAAGCTTTTTATCGTCTATACTTCCAGGTTATCGTTTCTTATGTGTTTTAAACCATTTGGCTCACAATGCGATCATTGTGTTTTGAGACTCTCTTGAGTAGTATTTCTTGTATACGTGAATTTATAATCTGATTTATTATTTGTGTTTACAAAAATAATCGTTATAAGAATAGTCTTTTGAAGATCTGATATTGTTGCATGACGTAAGAATCGTCATTTGCAAAAAAGAATAGCTATAAAACACTTTTTACCTTGTCAACAATAAACCAACTTCGAAATATAAACCTGCCTGGGTCTTTCCAGGGAAGACTTATACTCTTCTCTTCTTCTGGTCCTTGATTTTCTGAGGGTAAACAGTCAAATGGATCTCGTCTGACTTTGTCAGACAACAACAATAAAAATTTTACGAAGCAGAGCTTTTTACTGTACTATGAAACAAGTAATATATATACTATAGAAAATCTAATTTCGTTTTAAAATACTTTTAAGTTTTTCTTATTTTTAAATTTTTTTTCTTTTCACATCCGTTGGCATATTTCCATAACTTTAAATTACCCGGATCCAAACAAAAAAGTTTAGTGTTGCTCAATCAACTGACGAAGTTAATTTATGGGTAAACGGTTGCTGGCACTGGGATATGTTGCCTTATTAAGGTTTATTTCCTTAAAAAGACAAAACAAAACAATGATTAGATGATGCTGCAATGACGCGAAAATATAAAATTTATTATATATATGTATATATATATGTATATATATATGTATATATATATATATAGAACTGGTATTCAGCTAGGAGATAAATAAAATTTTTTAACTGGTTTCGAGTATTTCCGGTTAATGCAGATGTAGCTACGCGATGTTACGATGGGATTCAAAATGTGATTCAGTAGAATTAGCTGTAAATACAATTATTACATTAATATCTATTGAAAATTAAATAGTGGTGAGTCGTAAGTTTGTAAACTACATTAGTTGAATAAGTATAATATTTATTCCTAAAAAGTGCCTTGAAAGCTAGGTTAGCATATATCTAAATTATTTTTTAATAAAAATACTTTTTCGTTTAATTATAGTAGTATACAAAAAAGAGAAAAACTTATAGAAAAGAAAAAGAAAAGGAAAGAACTGGAAACTGAAAAAGACTTCTGTTCTTACTTTCCAGTTTTTTCTTCACTAAATGATTATGCTTCTTTTTTCAGTACAATTTTAAAAAAATGGCGTTTTTTTTATAAATGTTATCAATTTTATCTTTTTTTTACTTTTGAACCTTTAATTTTTTGTACTTGCATTTTGAACCATTCATATTTATGAACCTTTCACATTTTTTTCTGTGTTTGATTACTAAATATGTAATCTAGAAATACTGAAAATTTATTCAGAGATTATAAAATGATTTGTACCATAGAAATGACTGGTGGCTGAAAAAAAGAGCGCTTGAAGAAAAGGTCCGGAAAAAAACACCTCACAACTGTATGAATTTACGGTATGAAATATTGTAGTGAGTTACCGTCTT